GCCCATCTCCGGATTTGGCCTGCCGGTACTTGCGGAGCCGTCGTGTCTGATCATGCTGTGCATTTTCTCGGCGACAGGCGCCATGAAGGCGCCAGGGGCGGTCCCGGGATCTGAGTGCATCGGTAAGACAGCATCCCAAACCTCGTGGGATTCGACGGCTGGCCGGATTACGAGCTCCGGATGATCAGATTGCCATGGCCCCATACGTCAAAGGCCGTCGTGCGTCATCCGGCAACATATGGCCTGCCGCATGGCGGCCAGCTGCTGGCATGTGTCCGAGTTTTGGAGAGCGGCACCCTGAACGTTTTTAACAACTCTGCAGGGTATCCCATGCATGGAATCGGATCACGACCTGTTGCTACCCCTGGTGTCCGAAGAGAACGTCTGCCTCCCCCTAGCGATCAACGCCGTATCGAGATACTGGGATGTGGATCTTCCGATGGCAGAGGCAGCGGAGATCGCCCGAAGGTACCCCGCAGTGGACGGCAGCATACTGATCGAGGGGGTGGAGCTGGCAGAGAGGCACGGACTGGCGTGCCCGATCCTGCACTCGTCCCTGGCCGAGCTGAAGCGGGTCATAGACTGCGGAATTCCACCTGTTGTGATACTGCCGGGAGTCCACAACACCATTCAGCACGCATCGGTCATATCGGGGTACAACAACGAGGACGGCACAGTCATGCACTACATACCCCAAGCAGACAGCAAGGGCGAGTACCAGGTGGGTGTGATTCCGGAGAAGAGGTTTGATGAGATGTGGTCAGAGGACGGCAGGCTGGCGATCCTGGTTGCGCCGCCTCAGACGATTACCGATCTGGCTCTGCCAGACGAGGGGCTTTTGCGATCAAACAGGCTCTGCTTTGAGTCAGAGAGGCAGAATCTGCTGAGGCGCCCAGAAGACGCCGTCGGATCCCTCAAGGAGGCCATTGAGCTGGACGGCTCAAACTCCACTGCGCATGCGCTTCTGGCAGGGATTCTCAACGGGCAGAACTCCCAGGAATGCGTCGGACACTACAAAAGGAGCATCAGCCTGAACGGGAGGTCGTATCTGGCGTACCGCGGACTGGGAAACTACTACCTGAAGACCAAACAGCACGCAAAGGCAGAGGAGTGCTACACCAAGGCGATCTCGATCAATGCGACGCGGTACGGCCCGACGTACAAGAACCGCGGAATCGTGCGCCTAGAGCAGGGAGATGCCGACGGTGCACGGAAGGACCTGGAGGCGTACCTCAAGCAGACGCCGGGGGCGCCAGACGCTGCCTCGATCAGGGCGGCCCTAAGGGAGATGTAGGTGCGGAGTGCGGGACTTGAACCCGCGGCCTTCAGCTTGGGAAGCTGACGTCATACCGGGCTAGACTAACTCCGCCTGAGGTTTGGACTAAAACCAGTTTTATATGTCTGAGTTCGTGCAGCGTGGCCGGGCGCAGGTATCGCCGCTAGATATATCTGGAGTCGTTGGGGTTTGCGACCTTGCCGGTATCTGCAGGCGTGTTGGGAAACTTGCTGTCCGCCGAGGTCTCTGCAACGGCGGCCGCCTCCCTCAGGATGCCCTCGGACTCCTCGCTCACCACGGTATCCATTCCAAACGACGTGTCACCGCTGAACGTGTCCTGCATTATGCCGCCCAGCATGTCTGCCATGTTCGTGATCTCCTGATCCGCACTGGGCATGAACGCTCCCAGCTGGGTCTTGAGGTTCTTCATGAGGCCGATTGTGGGCACTATGGTGGTTACCGTATCGCCTATGTCGTTTGCGGTCGTAAGCCGAAGCTCGATCTGTTCCAGCGCCATCCTGGCGTTTCCCAGCACCTTGGTGACCTTGCGGATCTCCGCCAGCTCGTTTGAGAACACCCTTGCCGATCCGGCGTCGTGAATCTGGGTCGCATCCACGACCCGCTTGAAAATTTTAGTGTCACGCTCATTCAGCTTGAGTATCATTCCGTCAAGCTTGGCAATCTGGTTTTGCAGCCTTGCGATGGCCATCTGAACCTTGGGCTTGAGGGGCGATCTAGGCCTGAAGGTGTCTGCAATCTTGTCTCCGATGCTTGGGCTCGCTGGCTTGGACCATTTGTTCTGGAAGTTGGTCAATGTCAGCAGATACAGGAGTTAGTTCTTAATTTTTCGTGTGAAATATGGTTCACTAGTTACAGTATTACTGCTAGCTAAGGCCGCCTGGCATGCTCACCCCAGAGCCGCGCCTGGGCTGCCATGGGGCTCGCTTGCGGTCGCGCGATCTGGGGGAATTAATCTTATGTACGCCGATCAAAGCATTCAGAAGATAGCAGCCGTGAGACTGCTGCTCCTGGGGCCGGCCGCCCAATCTTTAATTGCGTCTGCGCGGAACAGAAGGTGTGAAAAGGGGCATTATCGCCGTCCTTGCAGCCGTAGTCGTTCTTGCGGCAGTCCTGATCTATGCAGACAGCGGGCCGCGGGACGGACCGCAGGTACTCTTCAAGGCTAGGCTGGCCGACCCGAGCCTGTACCAAGACGGGCTGTTCTCGGATCAGAACCACATGGAACAGGGCTCCTACGAGCTCAGATTTGTGCCCAGCGGGGACTCGCCGCGGATCCTGGATATCACCATACTGGACGGTGACGAGGTACTATTCTCAGAGCGCTTTGAGCTGGAAGGCACGGAGCAGGGAACAGAGTCTGCCAGGTACTTTACGTGGGATTACCTGGGAGAGAAGCAGCTGGATCTCACAGAGGATCGCGAGGTGACCATCTGGATCGACCCCAACGGGAACACGCTGGGCTCCGTAACCGTAATGATCATCCGCCCCTATAGCGACACGACAAAGTTCGTTCAGGGTGTAAGCAATCCGTAAGACGCTGGCGCGCTCAAGAATCTGATTATAGGATCAAATCCTTCGTGAAATACGCTGCTTTTTTGACTATTTGTGAACGATTCCAATAGGTGCTGGTCCGCGTTCTACACGAACTTATGCTCTTAGCTATAGGCGCCTGCTGCCTGCGGGTGCAGAGTGCGGCAGGCAGCCCCATAGGGTACGTGACGGCAATTGAATAAATAGCACGTATGCGGTTAAAACGGCATGATGCAGAAGAAGGGAAAGGTCAAACTGATCATTCTGCTGGCCTGCATCTGGTTTGTGGTGTCGCTGCCCCTGCCCTGGATCGTAAACAATCCCGACGTGTCCCAGTCGCACCTCTTCACAATTCTTGGAATTATCGGAATCATCTCCATCCCGTTTGTGGTTCTGGGGATAGTCTGGACCCTAAAACCAGAGCTGACAACGTAGGCCGGTCGACGTCACCCCTGCGGGGCAGGCACATGCGGCTCCCGGATCGGGGTTGGGGATCGTATGGATCCTCCAGTCAGGTACGCAACCAACGCAGCTACTTCCAGATTTTTTTGCAGTCATGGCCAATACAAATCTGGCAAAATATTTTAATGGGGAATCGCAGAGCACATGTATGAGACTGGTAATGGCGGCAGCTCTGCTCACCCTGGCAGCACTGTACATAGGGGCCACCTCTGCATCAGCAGACGACGGACAACTGCCGGACACGGAGATGATTCCGCTTGATGGCAGCACGGCCATCGAGAAGACCCGCCTACTCTTTTATGCCCCCGAGGACAACACTCTTCCCTGGGCATATGTAAAAGGAAAGATCGCGAACCACGTTGCTGGCTATCCTGTAATCATTCAGATACACGAGCTTGACGGAAGCGCGGTGCACTTTGCGCAAACAGATGTCAATGAGGCTGGCGAGTACGAGTACAAGTTCAGGGTAAGGAACGTGCATGACGGCGTGGTCATCAACATCTTTGAGGGCCACTATCAGGTCACCATATTCAAGGTCGTGTACCATAGCTCCCTTGAGATGGTCTAGGACCGGCAGGCGGCCTTTTGCCTTAGCGCGCATCAGGATACATTTGGGACGAACTAGAATCCACGAAGGCCCTTGGGCCGCACGATCTCCGGATGCTGCCTCCCGTATGCAACCTGCTCCAGCATGGCCTGCTTGTCCTGGGGAAACGTACCCCTAACCATGTATGCGTTTGAGCCGTGGTTTGCCCGGAACACGATCTCGTCCCCCGCGTCGATCTGCGATATCAGATCCTCAAGCTCCTCCAAGGCCTCCGAATCCGATATGGGAATGAATGCCTCGCCAAACTTTGTGAGAAACTCTTCCTTGATTCCATTCTCCAGATACAGCGTGAGCGCCCCCACATAGTGGGGCGATGCGGCGCTTATCACCTTGGCGGTGCCCCGTATGTGCTCCTTGGAGTGCGTCTTTCCTCCCAGACCCAGTATTATCATGCACGACATCACATACCCCGCATCCTTTGCCTTCTTTACCGACCGGACGATGGTATCTGCCACCGCGCCCTTGGTGACCTTTCGCAGTATGAGATCAGAGCCGCTCTCAACCCCCAGGTACAGCATGTCCAGTCCGGCAAGCCTCATATCCTGGAGCTCCTGCGCGCTCTTTTTGAGCACGTTCATGGGCATGGCGTAGCACGAGACACGTTCGATGGCGGGAAACTTGTCCCTGACATACCGCACAATCTTGATCATGTACTCGGTGGACAGGTTAAGCGCGTCGCCATCGGCAAGAAAGACCCTCCGGGTCTGCGGGGCGCGCTCTGCCATAATGTCGATCTCCTGCCTTACCTCCTCCCAGGGTCGCTCCACATACTCCTTGGAGCGATACATGTCACAAAAGGAGCACTGGTTAAACGAGCACCCCAAGGTAACCTGAAAGATCAGAGATCGGGCTTCCGAGGGCGGCCTGTACAGCGGGTAGTTGTAATCCAGCATCTTCTACAACTCTTGCGCGGTCATCCAATATTTGATTTTGGTTACAGACGGCAGGCCGGGCAGCCCTCTCCGCGTACTGCCATCCTGACCCATGTCTGAAGCGATCCACCAAAGCCGGTACGCCTCACGGCATGCAGGCTAAAAGGCCGGCGTGTGGCCGCCATGGTGCTCAAGCATGTACAAGCAGACACGCCAACAAATCCCCGCAGATGCCCCAGTCCTGATTGGTGCGCATTTCCTCTCTTGCATGCGGATCGAGTTTGGCGATGGCACTAGAAGATATCTATTGCTGCTGGCGCCTGTGGGATGTTATGCGCGCCTTGCTCTTTTGCGGATGGCGTGTACCGTCAGGACCGGTCCTGCCACGTAGATGCCTGCCATGGCGGCAATCGCGAGTAGGCCAAATGCGATGACTGAGGCGTCAGAGTTCTGGTCCGCAAGCGTCATTATGTTCAGCGTGTACAGTCCAGGCGTTATCGCCACCCTCACGGCGTCCCTGAATACGGCGTTCTCGCGCTCAAGGTCTGCAACAGCGGGGGAGAACGAGTAGTAGAACTGGTTGAAGCCCGTCATGAATGATGTTCCAGAGTCAGTCGAGAGCAGCGTGTTGTCCCTGATCTCACGCAGAAGCTGGACCTGCGGTGCAAGCTCACTGCCGTATGCGGCGGTCGCAATCAAGCATCCGCCAGGGGGAGTGGTTTCGTCAGGCATGTCCGGCACTACTTCGTCAGGCGTGTCCGGCATGACGCCCTCTAGTGCGATGGTGTCTGATGCCGAAAAGTACGTCCCGGCCAGCGTCCATGAGCCGTCCCTTATGTCCCAGACGTCGTAGTTTGTCTGGGCCAGGTCGCCAAAGTCGTTGAGGCGTGTCGAGCCCAGTGCGCCCGTGTGCTCTGCGGCAATCTCGGGAATCGCCTGGCTCAGCACCGCAACGTCCGTGCTCTGCTCTCTGTCTATCGCAAGGCCGACGACCCATACCGCGTCGTATGCGGAGCTGGCATACGTGCTTGGCACCCTTCCAAGCTCCGCCACCAGCGCCTCGTCCACGCGCTTGCTGATCTCGTTCTTGCCTGATGCCACCTGCACGGTGGTGTAGCTGGTGTCAGTCACAAATTCAAGCCCTATCGGATCGTCGATGAATGTCGGATCCCGGGTGTTGCCGTCGGTGCCGAACCACCTCACGTCATGGAGTATCTCCTGGCCCGATGCGGACTGCATGAACAGCAAGCCCTCGCCGAACCCGATGTACATCACGGCCACCTTGTCCGGGCCGTACTCGTCCACATACTCCTGCACTATCTCTGCCAGGAGTGAGGTCTCGGCCGAAAAGTCGGTGGCCTCTGGGTTGTATCCAAGCCCGTCGGCTACCGTGCCGCCTCGGGCGGCAAATGAGTCACGGATGGATCCTATAAGTCCCACGCCCCATGCGTCCTCGCGCCATACCGGCACCACGGCCTCTATTCCTGCCTCGGTGAAGATCTTGCTCAGCGCGGTGCCCTGGTTGGTGTCGTCTGGCGCCATCCTGAATATGGTATCACCGGATATGGCAAGAAGCGGCGACGTGGAGCAGCAGCTGAAGAGCAGTATCCCGTTGGAGTCCGCATACCCCTTCATGTTCTGAAGGTTGGAGCTGGTCTCGGGTCCCAGCACGATCTTTATGTTCTTGGCGTGAAGCGTCTGCAGCTTTTCAAGTGCGACCGTGGGCGATGTCTGCGAGTCCTCGACTGTGGCGCTGAGCGTCCAGGTTGCGCCCTTGTCTGCCAGGTACTTGTTAAAGTCTACCGTGGCAAGGACAGAGGCCACCCAGTTCTCCTCGCCGTGCTTTGAGAGCCTGCCAGTGAGCGGCAGGATCGAGCCTACCTCTACCTCTCCGGTCAGTCCGTCCTTCATCATGGTTCCCTCTAGCGCGATCGTGTCGGTGGCCGAAAAGTACGTCCCGGCCAGCGTCCATGAGCCGTCCCTTATGTCCCAGACGTCGTAGTTTGTCTGGGCCAGGTCGCCTGCGTCATTGAGGCGCGAGGAGCCCAAGGCCCCAACATACTCCTCTGCAACCTCGGGTATCGCCGCGGTCAGCACCGCAACATCGGTGCTCTGCTCCCTCTCTATAGTCAGTCCCATCAGCCACATCATGTCGTATGCGGAGCTTGCGTAGGTGCTTGGTATCCGTCCGATGCTCTCATTCAGGGAGCTGTCGACATACTGGCTGAGATCGTTCTTGCCTGATGCCACCTGCACGGTGGTGTAGCTGGTGTCAGTCACAAACCCGAGTCCGATGGAGTCCTCCACCAGCTTTGACTCCTTTGTGTTGGCGTCGCTGCCGAACCACCTTACGTCGCCGAGCACCTCGTAGTCTGATGCGGCCTGCATGAACAGAAGCACCTCGCCGAACCCGACGTACAGCACGCCCACCTTGTCGGCGCCGTGATCATTAACATATCCCTGCACGGTGTCTGCCAGGATTGAGGCCTCGACTGAGAACTCGCTGACCTCCGGGTTGTAGCCCAAGCCATCGTCGACTATGCCGCCCCGGGACTCAAATGACAGCCGTGAGGCGTCCTGGAGTCCGGTTCCCCATGCGTCCTCGCGCCATACCGGCACCATGACCTCGATTCCGGCGTCATCGAAGAGCTTGCTTATTGCGGTGCCCTGGTTGGAGTCGTCCGGTGACATCCTAAAGACGGAGTCCCCGGAGATGGCAATGAGCGGTGATGTGGAGCAGCAGCTGAACAGCAGCATCTCGTTGGAGTCGGCGTACCCCTTTACGTTCTGCAGCGACGCGCTGGACCAGGGCCCGAGCACTATGCTTATGCCCTTGGCGCGCAGCGACTGGATCTTCTCCAGCGCCGCCGTGGGAAGCGTCTGCGAGTCCTCTATCGTAAGTTCAATTGACCAGCCGGCATCCTTGTCGGCAAGGTACTTGTTAAAGTCATCTACGGCAAGGTTTGTTGCCGCCAAGTTCTCCTCCCCGTACTGGGCCACGTCGCCCGAGAGCGGCGTGATCAAGCCAAGGCGGATCTCCCCGGACAGTTCGTCCTTCATCATGGCGCCCTCAAACTCTATGGTGTCTGATGCCGAAAAGTACGTCCCGGCCAGCGTCCATGAGCCGTCCCTTATGTCCCAGACGTCGTAGTTTGTCTGGGCCAGGTCGCCTGCGTCATTGAGGCGCGAGGAGCCCAAGGCCCCAACATACTCCTCTGCAACCTCGGGTATCGCCGCGGTCAGCACCGCAACATCGGTGCTCTGCTCCCTCTCTATAGTCAGTCCCATCAGCCACATCATGTCGTATGCGGAGCTTGCGTAGGTGCTTGGTATCCGTCCGATGCTCTCATTCAGGGAGCTGTCGACATACTGGCTGAGATCGTTCTTGCCTGATGCCACCTGCACGGTGGTGTAGCTGGTGTCAGTCACAAACCCGAGTCCGATGGAGTCCTCCACCAGCTTTGACTCCTTTGTGTTGGCGTCGCTGCCGAACCACCTTACGTCGCCGAGCACCTCGTAGTCTGATGCGGCCTGCATGAACAGAAGCACCTCGCCGAACCCGACGTACAGCACGCCCACCTTGTCGGCGCCGTGATCATTAACATATCCCTGCACGGTGTCTGCCAGGATTGAGGCCTCGACTGAGAACTCGCTGACCTCCGGGTTGTAGCCCAAGCCATCGTCGACTATGCCGCCCCGGGACTCAAATGACAGCCGTGAGGCGTCCTGGAGTCCGGTTTCCCCATGCGTCCTCGCGCCATACCGGCACCATGACCTCGATTCCGGCGTCATCGAAGAGCTTGCTTATTGCGGTGCCCTGGTTGGAGTCGTCCGGTGACATCCTAAAGACGGAGTCCCCGGAGATGGCAATGAGCGGTGATGTGGAGCAGCAGCTGAACAGCAGCATCTCGTTGGAGTCGGCGTACCCCTTTACGTTCTGCAGCGACGCGCTGGACCAGGGCCCGAGCACTATGCTTATGCCCTTGGCGCGCAGCGACTGGATCTTCTCCAGCGCCGCCGTGGGAAGCGTCTGCGAGTCCTCTATCGTAAGTTCAATTGACCAGCCGGCATCCTTGTCGGCAAGGTACTTGTTAAAGTCATCTACGGCAAGGTTTGTTGCCGCCAGGTTCTCCTCCCCGTACTGGGCCACGTCGCCCGAGAGCGGCGTGATCAAGCCAAGGCGGATCTCCCCGGACAGTCCGGAATCGGAGCCGTCCTGCGCGTACGCGCCGACGCCCATGGTACCGGCCACAATTACTGCAAGAGCAAACACGCCGGTGATTCCGTACTTCATCTATAACCCTAGAATTAACGAGTTAATAAATATAGCAAATGGTAGCTGCGTACTACATACAATAACCCCAAATGCGGCCACGCCGTGTGGCGTGCTGGCTTTGGTGTATTGCTTTAGATGCGGGTCAGGGTGTCGGTACCCGGAGAAACATGTTCTGCCCACTGGCAGAAATAGAAAATGAATAAAAACGGATCGAACTCTGCTATAGCAGGGGCCGGTGGTTTAGTGGTATAATGTCGCGTTCGCAACGCGAATGTCGGGGGTTCAATTCCCCCCCGGTCCACTCCCATATTTGGCGCGCCGCCTCCCGGAGCCTGGCAGGCATGGACGCAACCGGATCCACCAACCACGACTCCCAGTACGTCAAATTATTAAACCCACAAAGGCATACACCCCACATGAAGGTCTTTGACGGAAGAAAGGCGTCCCAGGACTATATGTCAAGCCACACACTGGCGTTCTCCACACCGGATCTGACGCTAACCCGGTTTGCGTTCTGGCTTGGGGAGATGGTTCCGGATCCCGCAGACAGAAAACAGACGGTTCCGCGGCTCTACACGTTCGTGGAGGAGAAGGACTTTGAGCCCGTGCAGATAGTGGACGACGAAAGGTACGTTCCCACCGGTGCCGTCAAGTCTACCAGTATATACGGCACGCCGTCAGACGCGGCAACCGGAAAGTTCTGTGCCGATTGTGGCGCCAAGATGGCATCCGCTGCCAAGTTCTGTCCGCAGTGCGGCACACTGTGTGACCCGGCATAGGCCCTGTTGCAATATCTGTGGATCACGATTCCAGGTGTCCTGTCTGGCCTAGGTTCTGTTCCCACACTTTGTACAGAATTTTGCACCGGCCCCGAGCCCCGCCCCACATGAGGAGCACCGGTTCGCCCTGGGCGCAGATATCATCCTGGGATCCGGCGTTGGAAGGGTTCCTGGCTGGCCGAATGCGTCCTGGGTCGATACCACACCCGGCGGGCCGGCCGGATTCTGCGCGGTTCCCGTTCTTGGGGGCATGGCCATTCCCGGCATCATGCCAGGCGTCATGCCCGGCATCAGGCCGGCAGACTGCGTGCCTCCCGGTGCCTGGCCGCCGGCCATCTTGCCCAGCGCCTTTTTCAGTTCCATGATCACCTTGATCGACAGGAACTCCAGGGCCGAGTATGCTACTATGTAGTCGCCCATCTTCTGAAAGAACTCCCTGTCGTCCAGCTTGCCGTTCTTGTAGAGGGTGTTGGTCTCCAGAAACGACTCATAGTACCCCTGGGAGTCGGTAAACAGGTTGTCAAGCTTCTCTGCAAGCATACCCAGAGTATCCACTTCACCCATTGACATGATATAGCACCATGCACCCCTGTTCTATTAATTGCTTTATGGGCCAGAACCGGCGGGGTCGGATCCTGCTCTCGTTTGGACTGGATCTGCGCCAGACTCTGGTCTTCACGCCAGGTTCGGTACGGCAAGCGGCCCCGAACTCGACGTGGATGCAGGATGTGGGCAGTGGCATATGGGAAGCTCCACGGACAGGCTGTGACACGCCCAGAGCGTGGCCTATTCCCCTTTGTCGCTCTTTAGTCTGTCCCTTGTGGCCTCATACATGGCCAAAAACTGATCAGGCTCGTGCTGCCGGTAGTGCTTTGCCATGACCCTGGCCTCCCTCTCTGACATGTCGTTTCCCCGGCTATGGTGGTACTCCCTGACGATCTGGGACTGGGTCTTTGCAATGCTGTACTCGCGGAGCGTCTTTTCAACGGTCCTGCTGCACATCATGTCGTAAATTAGAAACCGGTAGATCAGGTAGCCTGCCGTACCAACTATCCCAATGACGATCAGCGGTATGATTATTACAAGCGCCATGCCTACCTATGGGTTGCTTTGGTATTTTAACTGTTCAGAAGCTATGGCATGTAATTCCCCAGCGTTACGGAGAAATAGGTATCTGAATGAACGGGGTTCCGCCCTCGCCGACCACCAGCGGCAGCTTTCCGTCCCATGCCCGTGTCTTGAACCACTCCAGATAGTTCGGGTTCTCTGCCAGGGCCTGGTTGATGATCCTGATCGCCTTTGCCTCTCCCTCTGCCTCCGCAATGTTGGCGTTTGCGATGCCGAAGGCCTGGGCCTCTTGCTGCTGCGCCTCAACCTGGATTCTTAACAGGTCGTTCTCCGCCTTGAATGCCTTTTGCTCTGCCTCCACCTTTGACTCTATTGCCTGGGAGAATAGGAGTGAGAATTCAAAGTCCGTAATCGAGATTACCTCTGTTGCCAGGTTAAACTCGTTGAGCCTGTCGGTGATCTCGTCCTGGATGTCGGCCTTTACTAGCGGCCTCTTTGTAATGAGCTCCTCTGCGTTATAGTTGGCAGTCACCTGCTTGACGGTCTCCTCGATTGCCGGCTGGATGACCCTGTTCTCGTAGTCAAGCCCCAGGTTCTTGTACAGGTAGTGGATCATCTCCTTCTCCGGGTGGTAGTTTACGGTCACGGTGGTTCTGACGGTCTGCAGGTCCCTGGAGGCAGACGTGGTCGATCTCTCATACTTGAGGGTCCGAACCTCGATATTGATAACATCATCAGCAAAGGGAGTCACAAAGTGCAGGCCCTCCTCAAGCGGCGGCTGTGTCAGATCTACCGCACTCCAGTGAAGCAGGACGCCCCTTGTTCCGGCATCCACAATCTTTACCGAAGAAGCAGCCACCAAGCCCGCCACAACCAGTACGATGAGCACTATTAAGACCACCTTTGCCGCACCGGCATTGACTCTTGGAGACTCGTATCTGGACAATTACGATTTATACAAGCAGGTGTGCACTATTATACCTATCTCGATCGCGCACGGCGCACCCTCAAGCCTGGAATAGCTGCGCCTATGTCTTGCCCACAGGAGTAGCATAAGCCAGGGCTGCATGATGACGAGGATCTCCTGCACTCTTGGCAGCCGTTGCCGCGCCAACAGGGGATCAGCCCGGCAGCTGTGCCGCCGGGCAGCAAAAGTAGTTCGTCACAGGTTGGAGTTGTAGGTTTGGGCCCGAGGACGCGCCCAAGCACGAAACGGGTGGACTGATTCGGATGTCGCGGCCAGCGGAATAAAAAAGAAACTTATTCCAGTTTTTAGGACGAAGGGATGCGGGAGTCGCCCAGCCTGGTCAACGGCGTAAGGTTCAGGTCCTTATCTCCTAGGAGTTCGTGGGTTCGAATCCCATCTCCCGCACTACAAACCATGCGGAGATTATACCCCCGCACCCCAATCAACACCGGAGCGGATGCGGGCCGATTCCGGAGTATCCTGCGGCCGGGAATCGGCCAAGGGGCCGGATCGTTTGATCTCCAAAAGTTAATTAGTGGAGCGCCGCTTTTGTCGTCTGCTTGACTGACTTTAAGCTTACCATATCCGACAGCAAGGGCAGATCCATAACCAAGGAGCTCAGGGACAACGAGGGCAGCGCCCTGCTAGGACAGACGATCGGCAGCAAGGTGGATGCGGCCGTAGCCAGCTTCGCAGGCCAGATGAGGATCACCGGAGGCAGCGACAGGTCAGGCGTTCCCATGCGGCAGGATGTGCACGGCAGCGCAAGAAAGTACGTCCTGCTCTCCAAGGGGGTGGGCCTGCAGGATGCCGAGAAGGGCAAGAGGGTGAGAAAGCTGATCCGGGGCAACCAGGTATCCGAAGAGACATACCAGATAAACTGCAGGCTTGACGGGCAGCTGCCTGAAGAGCGGGGAGCAGACGCCGCGCCGAGCAAAAAAGAAGGTTAACATAACAGCCGCATAGTTTTGGAATATTGCACTGGAGAGAGTCCCTTCCTGATTGGTACATCAAAGAATACGGCTACCAGCCCTGCGTCAACATTGGAACCGCAGGCCATGTGGATCACGGAAAGACCACCCTGATCCAGTCGCTGACCGGACAGTGGACCAGCGTGCACAGCCAGGAGCTCAAGCGCGGGATTACAATCCGGGTCGGATACTCAGATGCCGCATTCTACAAGTGTCCCAGCTGCGAGGATCCCCTGGGGTACTCGACCAGACCAGAGTGTCCCGGCTGCGGCTCCAAGAGCGAGCTCTCCCGTGTGGTGAGCTTTGTGGACAGTCCGGGCCACGAGAGCCTGATGGCAAACATGCTCTCAGGCTCTGCGCTGATGGACGGCGCGCTGCTCCTTGTTGCCGCCAACGAGAAGGTGCCAAAACCGCAGACAAAGGAGCACCTGCTGGCCCTGCAGACCCTGGGAATAACACAGATTGTCACGATACAAAACAAGGTAGACCTGGTATCATACACAGACGCCATGGCAAACTACAACGACATTGCCGCGTTTGTGAACGGAACCGGCGCCTCGGGATCGCCCATAATCCCGATCTCGGCACAGTCGAACCTGAACACCGACGCGCTCATCGGCATGATAGAGTCCACCATCAAGACGCCGATCCGCGACGAGAAGAGCAGCACGGTGATGCATGTCCTCCGCTCGTTTGACGTAAACCGGCCCGGCTCAAGGATCACAGACATCAAGGGAGGGGTCGTGGGAGGAAGCCTGACCGAGGGAACCCTTAAGATCGGAGACGAGATCGAGATCAAGCCCGGGATCGTCACCACAAAGAGGGGGGCGTACGAACCCATACTAACCGAGGTGGTCTCGCTGGGCACGTCTGCCGGAACCGTCGAGTCGGTAAGGCCCGGCGGCCTGGTGGCCGTGGGCACAAGGCTGGATCCTGCAATTGCAAGAAGGGACTCCCTGGTGGGATCTGTAATCGGCAGGCCGGGAACCCTGCCCGAGAACTCCACGGGAGCGCAGATCACAGTCAGCCTGTTTGATGCCGTCGTGGGCGCCACCGATGAGACCAAGGTAGCGCCGATCCAGAACGGGGAGGCCCTGCGGCTCAACATAGGCACCGCCCCGGTGCTCTCCAAGGTCACCAAGGTAAGAAACGAGAATATATCAGTCGAGCTCCGCCGGCCCGTCTGCATATTCGAGTCAGACAATGTGGCCATCAGCAGGCGCATAGCGGACAGATGGAGACTCATCGGTGCGGGAACCATTGGTTAGGGTAATCTGCGACACCAGCTTTCTGATCCACCTTTTCACCAGACGCATCAGGAACATCGACACGTTTGAGGCCGAGATAGGCCCTGTTCGGTTTGCGGTTCCCACATGCGCGCTGTCGGAGCTGAACAGGCTCATGGACGATCCCCGAAGGGCTCCCGAGATATCTGCGGTTCTTGAACGTGCGAGAAGGATGGACATCATAGAGATGGACGGCGACTTTGCGGACAGGGAGATACTCAGGCATGTGAAGCAGAACGGCGGCATTGTCGCAACCATGGACAGGGGGCTCAAGCGCGGCGTCAAAAGATCCGGCGGCTCCGTCATCTCGATGAGCCGCGACCGTGTCGTGCTCGAGCCGTAGGCCTGCCGCAGGCGTGCCATACCCCCGCAGCGGGAAGACAGAACGGAGGCTCCGGCAGAAAGCAGGCCGGGCCGCCGACTCCTGCCGGTGCCAGGTTTTTTGCTTTATATTGTCAGGGTGCATCCCGACAAATTAGTCAGGTACTTGATGGATACTAACACGCTAAAAAGATTCGACAGGCAGAACATGCACAAGGCTTACGACACCTGGCCCGAGACGGCCTCGGAGTTCTACGGGACAGATCTGCCCGCCATAGACCTGGATGAGATCTCACACGTGGTCTTTGCAGGCATGGGCGGATCCGGGACGATCGGGGACGTGTTCTCGGCAATCCTCTCCAAGACCGCCATTCACGTGGACGTGGTCAAGGGGTACCAGCTGCCCAGAACGGTCAGCTCAAAGAGCCTGGTGGTTACCACCAGCATCTCCGGCAACACCGAGGAGACGCTCAACGTGCTGGCAAAGGCGGCATCCCTTGGGTGCCAGGTGGCTGCGTTCTCCAGCGGCGGAAGGATGGAGGAGTTCTGCGCCAAAAAGGGGATCAATTACAGGAAGATTCCCATGGCGCACTCCTCGCGGGCGTCGTTTCCCGCATACATGTTCTCCATACTCAGGGTTCTCGAGTCGTTCCTGCCCGTAATGAGACGCGACATTACCGACTCGCTGAAGAAGATACAGGAGACAGGAGAGAGGATCTCGTCCTCCAACCTCTGCGTGGAGAACCCGGCCATATCCCTGGCCCGGTGGCTTACCGGCATTCCCATGGTATACTACCCTTGGGGACTGCAGGCAGCCGCAACAAGATTCAAGAACTCGCTGCAGGAGAACGCAAAGATGCACGCCATCACCGAGGACGTCATAGAGGCATGCCACAACGGAATTGTGTCCTGGTGCGGCCCGTCCGGCATCAGGCCGATCCTGATCCACGGGGCCGATGACCACCAGAAGACCAAGGAGAGGTGGACCGTTTTGAAGGAGTTCTTTGCAGAGAGGGGCATCGAGCACAATGACATCCATTCGGTGGACGGAAACATACTTGGGAAGATGATCAACCTGATCTACCTCCTGGACTACTCCACCATATACAGGGCGGTCATGTCAGGAACGGATCCCACTCCGGTTGAGCCGATAGAGTTTATCAAGAGGAGGCTCGCCGACCTGAGACTCGCCGATGCGCAGAGGTGACACCCGCAGGAACAAGACAATGGCGTGATCCCTAAACTGCAGGACCATGGGAGATTTCCTCCCCTTCCAGACACGCGTTGGTCTGTTTTCACCATTTGTCCTGCGGGATCACGCCCGATTAGTCGATAGAGGTTAGACCCATCGGCATGGTTATCCTACGCAAATTTAGTATTTAATATTTTAATATGAATTTTATGCATATATGGTGTTTTTTATAAGATTATTCACATGATGACATACAGTTCTTAGGTAATCCATGAAAAATCTTGCAAAATCCATTAGATTATAGCGGTTTGTGGATGCGGCTACCACTCCGGTGGCCGGTCGTCGGTGCTCGGATGGCAGAACGGGCACTTTAGGAACCCCTTTTTGCGGCCGCATGTCGTGCATCTGCTCTGCATGGAGAGCGCGCTCGTCTTGCTGGTGCTGCGAATCAGCTTTACCATCACAACGGCAACGATCGCCAGTACCAATACGGCTATGTAGATCCCCAGTGACATACACCATATGGGTGCCACGCCTATTCAAGTCTTGGCAACCGCATGGCTGTGTCCTACGGGCATATGTGAACTGGAATTGGCTCTGTCGATTTGGCGCGTTTGGCTATGTCTGTAGGACGCAGCTCAACCGCAGGCCGGTCCTTGCGCGCAGGGGCCGGGATCTCCCGATCCGCGGATCCGGCGTCGCATGGGTGGGAAAAAAGACGGATGTGGTTATGTCCGAGCGTTTTTGATCAGCTTCTCAAGTGCCTGGCTTGAGTTGAGTGTGCCGTTCTGCCTGCCGTACTCCTCCAGCTTCTTCAGCTGCTCCTTGGTAAAGCATACCGGTATCGAGCGTCGTGCCATGCCATCAGTCCGGCGCATTATTTAATATCCTTTGCGCTTTGCAAACTTTGTTTCCCAATTTCGATAAACGCATCTGAGTTGCCACAAGGAACACGATTCTCGTGCGACTTGACGCTGTTTACGGATCAAATTAATCGTAAAAGTGCGAAATGTTTGGATTGGGAAACAAAGTTCCTCGTGCCCCACTTTGCTGTCATCCAGTCACCGCGGTTTGTAGGCTTGAGCCCGGTGGAGTCAAAGGCAAACAGGCTTATCTCGGTTCTCGTGCTGCCATCTGAGAACCATGCGGCAGCCGTATTGCCACTGCCTTTCTCATCAAAAGTGCAGCTGAGTTTTGTCATCCTCTTCTGGAATGCCGAGTATGTGGGTGCGTTTACCTTGCCGACGATTGTCTCTGCCAGGCCCTGCAGCTGCCTGTACTTTATGCCCGTGGCGTTTCTGAACAGGGATGCTGCCGCAAAGCATGCGTTTGAAAAGCCAAACGGACGGCCGACCTTTCCATGATTTAGCTCCTCCAGGCCCTGTTTTAGGATCGCCATGCTTATCTGAAGCACGTACAGCCGACCACGGTCTATGTACTTGCGGTCATCGTACTGGAGCCTGCATTTTTTCGGATTGAAAGATTTTTTAGTATTATGTGGGTCGGGTGTATTCGGAGAGGAGGTGTTTGTGGTCATGTTTCGCAGCCTGACTACCGGCACGCCTCTCTGATCAATATGGCTTCTTGTTGAAAATGCTTGATATGATGCTCAAATTCAGTTGGCGTGCCTAGTCTGGCCTGATTTTGGAGCCATTAGGCGTGACTGGAAATAATTAGGAAACAGAGTTATAAAAACAGAACCAATATCTAGTAGCAGACCAATCAGGGATCTGAATGAGAACAACCGTGCCGCTGATGGCGCTGCTCATGGTCACCGCGGCAACCGCCGCCGGAACCCAGAGCGCCAGTGCGGCCGAGATATTTGCAGACAACGTGGTGTACGCCAGCGGCCAGCCGCTCCTTCTGTATGGAACAGCCGAGTCCGGGGAGAATCTCATCATAAGGCTGCGCGCGCCCGACGGCGCCTTTGCCAAGTTCGACCAGATAGAGATCACAAGAGAGGACGGGACGTTCAACCATGTCCTGCTGGTGTGGCCCCAGGCCTCGACTGACTTTCCCTACGGCACCTATGCCATCGAGATCATAGGCACTGTAGACCCGGCGCTGTCACAGTCGATCGACATCAGGTTTGCGCCCTCGTCTGATCTTGTCCAGGTTCCCATCGAGCGGAGCATCAGCACCCTGGTGTTTGCGCCCGAGACCGCCGCCTTGGGATCCTCGCTGAGAGTCTTTGTGCAGACCACGAGCGACGGACTCCTCATCGAGGGATCCCCAGACGAGATACTGGACACAAGTCACATCCACCTGCCCGACGGAACCGTACAGGACATCACCGAGAGCTTTGACACGCTTCACCGCGGACTGCACTTTGTGGACTATACGCCCCGGCAGCTGGGCACCTACATATTCCACGTGGTGGCATTCCATCAGGGCACAACCTCCCACGGCTCTGTGGCCACCACGGTAATGAGCCAGGATATCGAGAGCATCTCAGAGCAGATCATCCGACTCAACAGCGTCCTCAATGAGACATCCACGGAGCTTGGGGTACTCAAGGCGGAGATAGCGGGATTTGGCTCCACGCTGGAGGGAGCAAACCAGACCATCGATTCCAGCGTCAGGTTCATGTCCGCGTCGGTCGACAACATAGTGGAGGCGTCACTGCAGCTCAACTCGTTGCTGTTTCCCATTGTGGGATCCATTGCAATAATAGTGGCCCTGCAGATAGCCATACTGGCGCGCCGCAGGTAGGCAGGCAGCCCCGCAAACAATGGCTTTTATACAGAACCGGCATATCTGAGCCATGATCAGACTGATAGCGGTGATCGTGACGGCGTCACTGATATCAGGCACCGCCTACGGACTGCTCGGTGGCGATCTGCCGCAGGTCCGCGAGGAGGCCCGACCCGCACCCACGGAGTCAGGCATCATACACATGGACGGGGCCGCCTGGACGGAGGGCGAACCTCCCAGGCGCTACATAGTGTTTGGCCAAGGCACCGGCAACTGGCTCCCGCAGGTTGCGGAGAATATGGCATACACGGCAAGGACGGATACGGGATTTCTCTCCGTGGGCGCATTTCCGGAGAACGCGAGAGCATCCATGGAGAGGATGGGATACCACGTGATAGAGGACTTTGAGCTGGAGTTTGACTCGATGGGCGGCGACGCTTCAGGAATCGGCGACATCGTGGGCTCCAAGCATGTGAACCGCGCCCTGGGGTATCAGGGTTCGGGCGTTACAGTCGGCATCGCCGACACCGGCGTGGACTTTTCAAACACCGACATACGCGACTCCCTTGCCCGCGACGAGCTGAACAGGCCCATAATGCTTGACGCCGACGGCCAGGGCATCGTGCTTACAAACGCCACGTTTGTTGCCAACATAGACGAGTTCGGCGTCATGCGAAACTACACCGGCGACCTGCCTGAGGGGACGACCTCCCGAGTATACGTCTCAGACGACGGCGTGTTCCTAGACCTGAACCAGGGGAACAAAGGAACCACGATCCAGGTGTACAACGCGTTTTACCCGTATGGCGGCAGCAGTCCGGTCCTCAACGGCACAATGATAAACGACCTGAAGATAGGGACGGACAACCGCGACTATATCGTATCGCAGAGCGGCGTATATCACCTGGGCGTCATATACCAGCCGGCACCCGGCGGGATCTTCCTTGCGGCGCAGGTGGTGCCCATACTTGTGGTGGACGCAGAGGAGGCCGGCGTATACGACACCATAATTCCTGACATGTCCACCTCCTGGGAGGACTATACCAGGTTCGATCTGGAGCCCAGGGAGAAGCCGGACTATGACTTTGACTTTACCGACGAGACCCAGATACAGCTGGGGGAGGGCAAGGAGTTTCTGGTGTACGACTCTGACGGGGACGGAAGGGACAACTACAGTAGCGGCACGGTGGGCGCGTGGGTGCTAGACGTCCACAGCGTCATCGAGCCGGACTACACAGCCGAAGAGGTGGATGCGCTGGGCGCAGTCAACGGCACGCTCCTGCCCCCGATGGATCCCGCAGGCAACTTCTTTGGCCTGATGACTGACTATTATGGACACGGCTCTGCTAGCGCCGCCACCGTTGCGTCTGCAGGCCAGAGGGAGTACGACATCTACGGTACCGGTGAAAAGTTCAACATCGCCGGCGTGGCGTCCGAGGTCGAGATACTCCCCATCAAGGTCCTGTGGTTTGGTGACGTGCTGTACGCGTGGATGTGGGCTGCCGGGTTTGACAACCACGACACCTCCTGGACCTACTCGAACCAGACCAGGGCGGACATAGTCTCCAACAGCTGGGGAGTCTCCGCGTTTCCCAACCTGGATGCGGCACCGGGCATGGATGTCCTGTCCCTGATCAACAACGCCATAGTAACGCCAAAGTCCATGCATCCGGACTACCCGGGCATCACAATGGTGACCAGCGGAGGAAACTCCGGTCCAGGATACGGCGCCATGTCGGTACCTGCTACCGCGTCCTTTGGGATCACCGTCGGGGCCACCACGAACAACGTGTTTGTGGGATACAGCAGCTTTGACGAGGAGCCGCGCTTCGGCAGCACCACCGCACACCGGAACCACGTGGTGGACTTTTCAGGCCGCGGCCCGGGCATCATAGGCGATCCCAAGCCGGACATCATGGGGATAGGGGCCTATGGCTTTGTGCCGGCGCCGGTGACCGAGTCGATCCGGGAACCGGAGAACAACCCGTTCTCCCTGTACGGCGGCACCAGCATGGCGGCCCCTGTGGTGGCAGGCAGCGCGGCGCTGGTGATCGAGGCGCTGCGGGACCGCGGAGCCGATGCGGATCCGTTTCTGATAAAGAGCATCCTGATGTCCACTGCCAGCGACCTGGGCAACGATCCGCTGACCCAGGGCAGCGGACTGGTCAACGCGACCCGGGCGGTGGCGTATGCCCGCGGCGAGCCCGGACAGTTCATAGTCCACAACAACTCCACCTACGGCAACGTCAGGGCTGCACTGGCCGAGGCCATGCAAGCGGTAAACCATACCGGGTTCGGGGCCGAGAGGTTCGTGCTTCCCGACACGGCGCTGCCGGCCACCTCCTGGTTTGCCGGGCGCATGGAGGCCGGTCAGCGGAGCACGACCACGTTCACCATCGAGAACCCCTCGATCCTGCCCATAAACGTCTCTGTCACGCCGCAGACGCTGCAGCTGATAAAGAGGACCGAGTACCAAGGAACCACCTCGCCCCACGAGCAGGACCCGGTGCTGAACAGCTCAGGTATCTATGCGCCAAACTACATCCGGCTCTCAGACGTCAAGGGGTTTGACACGCTGGCAGACTACTTTGACTACCGGTATCCCGTGCCCGAGGACGCCGCCCTGATGATCCTGGGCCTCACGTTTGACTTTGACGCCTTCATGAACAACACCGACTCTGTCATCTATGCCGACGACATAAAGATTGCCTCGCTGTACCTGTACGACTGGGACGACACAGACGGCAACACCAGGATATCCAGCGACGAGCTGTCGATGGTCAGCCGGGCCGGCTCCTGGGGCACTGTCCAGGAGATGAGGGTGACGGATCCCGACTCGAAGTTCCAGCACGAGCCGGTGGTGGGCGTGTATCCGGTGCCGAGCCGGTACTCGTACTGGCTGGGGCTCACCGAGAACAACGCCACGGCAATAGACTACACGCTGTCGGCATCCTACTACTCCCGGGGCGACTGGGGAGCGGTGTGGGTGGACGATCGGGAGGTGTACGTGCCCGGCAGGGGCACCGCCGAAGTGACTGCCACGGTGGTGGCCCCTCATGATGCGGCTACTGGCGTGTACCAGGGAGTGATCACCTTTGAGGGGGAGCGCAGCGCGGTGCACGCGCCCGTCTCCTATGTAGTAAAGGAGGCCATAGGCTCCAATGACGTCACGGTGCGCATAGGGGGGCATGACACAAACGACGTCATGTACGGCAACGGGTACGTCAAGGGCTCCTTTGACATGCTGAGCAGGTACATGGCCGGGGACTGGCGCCACTACCACTTTGAGATCAGCGACCCCGACATAGACTCGGCCGCCATCAAGGTGTCCTGGAGCGACGAGAACAGCAGCATGTCGGTGTTCGTAATCGATCCCGCGGGACAGATAATCCAGACAAACGTGCCCTCGGGGGTCTTTGGGCACCTGGCCGGCTGGCCCAGCAACGACTGGCTGGGATCCACCAGCTTCTCCGGCGGAGGGGGCTTCTTCCACGTGAGCGGCCTCAACGCCACATCCACGCTGCTGCATATACCCATAAACCAGACCGGCACCTACGGCATGATGATGCACTCGACACTGTTTGGCGGCGGGAACTTCACCGAGCCGTTCTCGGTCACCGCCAGGTTCTTTGATCTGGAGCTGTAGCCCGCCGTGGGGCACCCGCCGCGCGCGGCGGAACGGGAACCTACCGGCTTTTGACCAGCGGGGGCCTTCCCAGAAGGGAGCAGTAGAGATGCAGCGCCTCGTCCTCGTCCCGGGGCCCCACCACCACGGCCGAGCATTTTTTCATGAAGCTGACGGCAAGGTCGGTCGTGCGCACGGACAGCCCAAGATCGCCCTGGTTGTCCACCGTGAACCCCTTCTCCCTTGCAATTCTCGTGACCCGCTCCACGTCAAGATCCGCTGACTGCGTTGGCGTCAGTGAGAACGTGCGCCGGCCGCGGTTGCGGCCGCACAGCTCCTCAATGATCATCTCCTGCCTTGGCGCCTCCCGCTCCCTGCCGGAGCCGCACACCGGGCACTCCTCGGCCCGGAACGTGCGCGTAAACGAAAAGTCAAGGTTCTCGATATCCACATGCAGTATGCGCTCTGACAGGTTGGGGCTCTTCTTCAGCATTATCTTGACCGCCTCGGCCACCTCGATGGCGGCCACTATCGAGAGGACCGGCGGATGCACCCCCTCAATTGAGCATGTGGGCATCGAGTCCTCGTCAAGCTCGGGAAACATGCAGTGGTAGCAGGCAGTCCTGCCCGGCAGGACGGTAAAGACCTGTCCCGAGGTCCCCACGGCGGCCCCCGTGACAAACGGAATCCCCTTCTTGACGCATGCCCGGTTCAGCGCGTACCTTGCGCTGACGCTGTCCAGCGCGTCGATCACCACGTCGCATCCGTCCACCACGTCTGGCGCGTTGTACATGTTTACAGAGACAGCCAGCGGCTCGATCAGGACGCCTGAGTTCATCTTGCGCAGGTGTGCGGCCGCCGCCTCCACCTTGACCTGGCCCACGTCCCCCTCATCAAACAGGGTCTGGCGGTGCAGGTTTGAGAGCTCGATTACGTCCCTGTCGACCAGCCTCACGGTTCCCACCCCCATGGCCACGAGGCGCGACGCTATCGGATTTCCCAGCCCGCCGGAGCCCACTATGCAGACCCTGGCCCTGCGGATGTCCAGCTGGCCGTTGTAGCCTATCTCCTCCAGCATTATCTGCCTTGAGTACCTGTCAAGGTCGCGGCCTGACATTCCAGAGCCGCCGGCCACCGCGGGAAGGATGTAGATGTCGTCGCCGTCCTTGAGGGCGGTCTGGATGCCGTCGGCAAACTTGGCGTTCTTGCCGTTGATGTATATGTTGATCAGTGCCCTGGGCGAGCCGTCGTCGTCAAGCACCCTCCTTGCAAAGTCGGCGCCCATCTGATCTGCGATCACCCTGAACGCGTCTGCCAGGCTGGATGCGGACACCGGCACCTTCCTCTCGCCGCCGCCGCTGTTGAGGACGGATGGAATCGTGAACGTAACGTCGGCCACTACTTGATCACCGCCGCGATCTTTCCCAGATCGGCCTCCACCGCCTGGGGCCTTGGCAGGACTCGCATCAGTGGCTCGATCGACTTGAGGCCGTTGCCCGTAATGTAGCACACGACGGTGTCGCCCGAGTCGATTCTGCCCGACTCGGCCATCTTCCTGAGCGCCGCGACAGACACGCCGCCGGCAGGCTCGGTAAACACTCCCTCTGTCCTTGCCAGCAGCAGTATCGCGTCCATGATCTCCTGGTCGGTGGCGTCATCCGCAGAGCCGCCATACTGGGCGAGCCGCTTGAGGACGTACCTGCCGTCCCCTGGGTCGCCGATGGCCAGGCTCTTGGCAACGGTGTCCGGGCGCTCGACGGGCGTCACCTCCCTGTGGTTGCCCCTGAACGCGTCCACGACAGGCGCGCATCCCCGCGCCTGGGCGGCCTCCACGCTCATCTGGGAGACGTCTCCCAGCAGGGAGGCCTGCTGCAGCTCCTCAAAGCCCTTGCAGATCGCGTTGAGCATCGCGCCGCTGCCCACAGGAACCACAAGGTGATCCGGCACCCTCCAGCCCAGCTGCTCTGCGACCTCAAAGGCCAGGGTCTTGGAGCCCTCCACATAGTACGAGCGCATGTTGATGTTTACAATACCATACCCCTTGCTGTCCCCCACGTATGCGGCGATTCTGTTTGCGTCGTCATACGTGCCCTTGATCGGGGTGTACCTGGCCCCGTACGAGAGGGCCTGCGCGATCTTTGCCATCTCGATGTCGCTGGGGGCAAAGACGTAACATGGCAGTCCGGCCCTTGCCGCGTGCGCCGCGGTGGCAGACGACAGGTTTCCGGTGGACGCGCAGCCCACAGCGGACAGGCCAAACTCCAGGGACTTGGAGACGGCCACGCCCGCAGGCCTGTCCTTGAACGAGAAGGTTGGGTTGACAGAGTCGTTCTTTATGTACAGGTTGTCTATCCCCAGCTCGCTGCCGAGCCTGTCGGCCCTGAGCAGCGGCGTCATGCCGGCGCCTATGTCGACGATGTTTGACTTGTCCAAGATCGGGAGAAGCTCAAAGTACCTCCAGTAGGTCTGCTCCCTGCCCGCAAAGGTGTCCGGCGTCACAGAGACGGGGTCATACGCCACGTCAAGTGGGCCAAAGCACTCCTCGCACACGTACCGGAAGGTGGGCTCGTACTCTCTTCTGCACTCCCTGCACTGCAGGTGTATCCTGGACATTCTACTGATCATGATACCGGTTAAGGCATTGATAAAAAATCCTAAGATCAAATTAAGCAATGCTTAATTTTTTGTTCGAGAAAATTTAATATTAATTTCATTTTTCTTGGGACTTCTCGAGAATGCCGGCCGCCAGCCGCAACTTATCACGGAAATGCCCAAACATGGTGCAATATCTCCTGCCGGTATCAGAGTCCGCGACAGGACAGGGCACGGGCCGGGCGGCGGATGCCGCAACTCTCTGGGGACGGGGTCCGGCACGGGAGCGTGACATGCGCCGAGCCCAGAGCGTGCCGGCCGGCTACCGGACTTCGGAGGAGAGCCGGGCGCCAGCCGCTCACAATAACTATTAACTTCAGACCTGTTGGTTTCTTATGGACAACATACGCGTGACCTATTCCGGCTTGATCGCGTTTGCGGTGTCGCTGATAGGCGTTGTCACGGGAGCCATCTTTGTCATAATCGTCACCCGGCAGCTGGAGCCGGAGGAGTTTGCCATCTGGAGCATCCTTGGAACCATGCTGTCCTACGTCGCAATATCCCAGTCTGCAGTCTCGTACTGGACGTTGCGGCAGGTTGCCAGGGACGAGGCAGTGGCAAAGACGTCCGTGATATCCAGCGGGATGCTCTCGCTGGGGGTTCTGCCGCTGTACTTTGCGCTGGTAACCGTCTACTCCGGGGTGGCCCCCGAGTTTTACTTTTCAATGGTCCTGTCCATGCTTCTCATTCCGGCCAGCTTTGTGAACGGGGCCCTCCAGGCAATCAACCTTGGCTACCAGCCCCACAAGGTGAGCTACAGCATACTGGCCTTTGAGGGCACCAAGATTCCCCTGGGACTGGTTCTGGTATACCTCCTGGACCTCGGGATAGACGGGACGATCGTCACCGTCGTCCTGGCGTATATCGGCCAGATCATCATACAGATGATCTTTGCAAGGAAGAGGCTGGTCAAGAGGTTCAACCCCGCATTCCTGTACCGCTGGATAAGGCTGTCGTGGATACCCATCTACAGCAGGCTGGGAGGGCAACATCTGGAGCTCGGGCATAGTCATATTTCCGCTGATCACGGGCTCGGTCGTGGGGGTGGCGTACTTTGCCGCGGCCATGGTCATCTCGGAGATCCCGGCGCATGCAAAGATGGTCTCCCAGGCGGTGTACCCGAAGCTGCTGGCCTCAAAGAACCACAAGTACATCGCAGAGAACCTGACCAAGCAGTTCTTCTTCCTGCTTCCGCTGACAGGCATCGCAATCGTCTTTGCCAAGCCAGCGCTCTTTATCCTGAACTCGGCGTACCAGGAGGCGTATCTGGCCGTCATATTCCTGACGTTCTACAGGTTCACCACGGCGCTGATCTCCACTGCCAACGACATACTGACGGGCCTTGAGAAGGTCGACGTGGAGCAGAATCCAGGATTCAGGAAGATGCTGCGCAGCAAGCTCTTCATGGTGCCCACCCTGCTCATAGTCAACAACTCGCTGTACATAGCCATCCTGGTCGTGATCCTGCTGCTGCTGGGCGGCGCCGCCGAGATACGGCTGGTAACGATCTGGTCCCTGCTGCCGGCGGTGGTGTCCGTTCCGTTTGTGGCATACCTCTGGATCCTGGTCAGGCGGACGATAAGGATCCCGCTGCCAAAGAGGCGAATTCTTGTGTATGCCGCATCAACGCTGGCGTTTATGGCGGTATACTATGTGACCGCTGACCACGTCATAACGTACCCGGAGAACATATTCGAGCATGTCCTGCAGATGGTGCTGCAGCTTGCGCTGTGCGCCGGGGTCTACTTTGCGATAACATACGCCGCCGACCACAAGACGAGGCACCTGGTCAGGCAGGTGATCGCAGAGCTCAGGGCCGTCGCGGCCAGAAGGGAGTAGGCGCCCAGGCTACTCCCGGTTTGCAAGATCCCTTGCCCTGCTAAGCGAGATGTTGCCCTCGGAGACCATCCTGTCGACGATCCCGTCTATGCTGCCGGGGGCGGCTCCCGCGGCGGATGCCAGGTTTCTTGCGTGCAGCCTCATGTGGCCCTTCTGGATTCCCTCGGTGGCAAGGGCCCGGATGGCGCTGTAGTTCTGGGCCAGTCCCGTCGCGGCGATTATGCAGCCAAGCTCGCCTGCAGATCTTGCGCCCAGGATCTTGCTGCAGATTCTGGCTAGGGGGTGGACGTTGACTATTCCGCCCACCGTGCCCACGGCCATGGGAACCTCCAGCCTTCCCACCAGGTTTCCGTCCCCGTCTCTGGACCACTCGGTGAGGGACCTGTAGGTTCCGTCCCGGGCGGCGTACGCGTGGGCGGCCGCCTCGATGGCCCTGCCGTCTTGTCCCGTGGCGGCTGCCACCGCCACGATGCCGTTCATCACCCCCTTGTTGTGGGTGACTGCCCTGTGCACGTCGTGCCGGGCAAACTGGTAGGCGTCGATTATGTCGTCGACCACCTGCGGCCCCCCGACCGCCTCCCGGTCAAAGACCGCAGATGCCCGGACCATCCTGCGGGTGGAGTAGTTTGAGAGTATCTTCAGGAGGGCCGTGCCGCCGGTGGCCTCCTCCACCAGCGGGGCCGCTGCCTCGCACATCGAGTTGGTCACGTTTGCGCCCATGGCGTCGCCCACGTCTATGAGCAGCTCGACTATGAGCATGTCCTTGGAGTCGGTCCGTATCTCCCTGCAGGAGACGCTCCGGGCGCCCTTCCCGAGCCTTGAGAGGGTGGAGCTCTTGGCGTTTGCCGCCCTGAGGATGTCCGGCTCGGACTCGGCGAGCCTGGCAGCCGAGCCCTCCCCGGCGCCCAGGATCTGGATCTGCCCCGTGCTGTAGGATCCGTCGGCCTCGGCGGCAAACCCGCCGCGAACCCTGGCGGTCTTGGCACCCTTTGAGGCCGCTGCCACCACCGACGGCTCCTCGATCACCATGGGAACCAGGTGGTCCCTGCCGTTGATCCGGAAGTTTGTGGCCACCCCCACGGGAAGCGAGAAGGTCCCGATTGCGTTCTCGATCATCTTGTCTGCCTGCTCAAACCCGATCCCCCCGGTGGACTGGGCCAGGATATCCATCTCGTCGTCGGACAGGCCGGCAAAATCGCCCAGTATCTTCAGGCGCTCCCGGTGGCTCTTCCTAAAGAATCCCGGGATCGCCGAGTCCCGGCTCATCGCACTATCCTCAGGAGCATGTCGTCGTCCTGGCCCGGAAAGCCCTTTCCGTCGGTGTTTGACGTTATCACGTAGAGATTTCCGTCGCCGTCCTCATATACATCGCGCACCCTTCCCAGTCCGCTGAGGATGCTCTTCTGGGAGCCCAGGCCCTCCTCCATGTCCAGCTCGAAGAGGTTGACCGCCCTCAGGGACGCCACTATAAGCCTGCCCTCCAGCGGCAGCCTGTCGCCGGAGTAGAGCACTATGCCCCCCGGCTCGATTGCGGGATCATAGCATATGGCCGAGTCCACAAACTCCGGGTTCCCCTGGCACTCCTGGTCCGGCCAGCCAAAGTTGCCTGCCTTTTGCACGACGTTTATCTCGTCGTTCTTGGTCGGCCCCAAGTCTGCCACGATCAGATCCCCGGACTCGTTCCAAGCCAGTCCTTGGGGATCCCGGAACCCCAACGCATACACTGCGGAGCCGGGAACCGGGTTGTCGTCTGGTATCGTGCCGTCGTCGTTTATTCTCAGTATCTTCCCCGCCAGGGAGTCGGCGTCCTGTGACAGGTGCAAGGAGTCAGAGACGGAGCCGGTACCGGCGTAGAGCTTGCCGTCGGGGCCAAACTTCAGGAACCCGCCGTTGGCGAAGGGTGATCCAGGAATCCCGTCCAGTATGGTCTCAGCAGACACCAGCCTGTTCTCTGACTCGGTTATCCTCATGATCCTGTTCTGGAGCTCGCCGCCCTCCACATAGGTAAAGTAGACGTACAGGAGGTGGTTCTCCTCAAAGTCCGGATGCGTGGCAATCCCCTAGCAGCCCGCCGCCGAAGACGTCTGCGGTTCTCAGGGTGGCAAGGGGCCGCTCCAGCAGGGCGCCGCCCTCCACGACGCGAATCCTCCCGTCCTTCTCCGTGACAAAGACCCTGTCGCCGGAGGCCGCTATGCCCCTGGGCTTGTCCAGGTTGGTAGCCAGGATCTCCACCGGCCTGCCCTCGGGCTCCGGGTCGGTGGGTCGCGGCAGCGGGATGGTCTCCGAGGGCGAGCTGAGGATCAGCGCCGATGCGGCAACTGCTGCCGCAATGCCCATGATTCGCAGCCTTTTATCCAATACCGACAGGATGCCCGCAGATCATTTAATTACTTTCGGAGATGCGGCCGCACCCGGGCTACGTGGTAGCGAGCGGCCTGTCCGGCCGGAGCTTGTTCCAGAGCGAGCCCAGAATCAGCGGCAGGACAAGCCAGTAGCTGGAGACTGCCACCACAGACATTATGCGAAAGCCGTCCACCAGATCGGCAGGGGCCGTCGTCTCGTCTGGATTGTCTGGCATTGCGACAAACACGGCGCCCACAAGGATGCCGTACCCCGCAGCGGCCAGCAGCTTGCGGGAACCCCGCAGCCTCCTTGAGAGCATGCAAAAGCCCAGAGCCGAGAGCCCGGAGATTGCTATAAACGCCAAGTACAGGGCCCCGCGCAGCACCACGGTGTCACCGTCACCCACCGTGGGCGGGTTTGCGGGGTACTTGAGGAACGGTATCAGAAACACCGCCAGCCACATGACACCCGCCAAGACCAGAGCCTTTCGGATGTCGTGATCCCCGGGAATGGACTTCCTGAAGAGGGCGTAGACTATGCCAAACAGGGCGCCGGTGGAGGTGCCCAGGATGACGGTGCCCAGGATCTGGCCGCCCTTCTGCCAGTACCTGTACGAGTCGTACTCGACCCAGAACTCCAACGTGTCGTCCGCCTCGTCTGCGGCAAAGAGGTTCTGGTTCTCTATGCTTGTGGCCCGATCCAGGTACGGCTCGACTATCGCCAGGTTTACCGTGCCGTGAATGGCGCCAGCAACGGCGCCCGACAGTAGCACAATAATGATAAAAATGGTTGATCTCATGGTCTGCTAGTGACAGGGGAAACCTGCAGCGTGTCGCGTGTCGTGGAACAGTTCGTGCAGTAAGTTCTCTTCAAAGGCGTCAGGGCCCTGAATTATGCTGAGTGCGTGGCCCTGATCGAACCCCACAAGAAACAGGCCGACAACAAAGACTATCGCCAGCACCAGGATTGCAGGCACGGGAACGGAGAACTTTGATACGGTCGCCCCTCTTGGCTGTAACATGATATGCACCAATGCAATTTATTATTTAAATTGTGGGATGGATGCGGGACTCGAGGCCTCCTGCCACACCGGACCGGGCGCAGCAGCCACCTGAGACGCACGATCCTCCGCCCCCTGATGGGGGGAGGCGCGATCCCCTGCAGGGACAGGAGCCCCCCAGTAGCCTGGGATCGGCACCCGCCGGATGCGAAGGGATCCGCCCCTGCACTGCCGGATCGTGGCAGGGCCGCCGGATCGCATGGCAAACTAGAAAGAGCCGTAGATACCAGCAACAACTGGTTGCAGTTGAAGGCAGAGAACATCTCATCCACCTCCGCGGCGGTAATCCTGCTGGCAGAAGGCCGGGTGCACACAAGTCCCCTTGCAAGGAGGTTTCTTGGCATGCTGAACCTGGACTCGGGCAGGTGGCTCCACGTAAAGCTTGCCAGATACTGGACACACTACGACCAGATCGTAAAGAACAGAAAGTCGTGCATACTCGGACTGGAGCGCCTGGCCGCGGCGGAGGGCGGGATCGAGCAGGTCGTGATATTCGGAGCCGGGTTTGACGCGCTCTCGCTGGAGATACATGCGCGACAGGGCCGGTGCAGGGTTTTTGAGATCGACATCAAGAACATGGACGAGAAGAGCAGCCTGATGCGATCCATGGATCCCTCCATCGCGGATCATATCCGGTGCATCACGACAAACATGTACAGTACGGATACGATCATACCGGGTCTAGTCGAGCAGGGATGGCGCCCCGACGAGCCCTCGACTGTCATATTTGAGGGAATATCCTACTACCTGCCACCTTACATTCTCTGGGACGTGATCGGCAGGTTCAGAACCGGAACCAACACAAACCAGGTCATCATGGAGTACCTGGTTCCGTCGGAGGCGATCGCAAAGGAGAGGAACCACATAGCACAGTATCCGTTTGACCTGATTGCCGCCGATTCCGGCCTAATCTACATCACCAGGTATGACGTCAGGGAGATAACGGCGCGCGTAGAGAGTCTCGGCGGCGCGCTTGTGCAGCACTACGACATGATGAGGATGGAGAAGGACAGGACATCAGGCAATGCGATCTTCAAGACAAGGGAGAGCGGATGGATCGAGGTGTGCAGGTTTGCGATCTGAGTGTGCTGCAGGGATCCGGCGTGCTGGGGCTCCCCGGCCAGTCCCGGCGCACTCGCCGGGGCGCGGGTGCCTCCCCCGCAGGGCGCGCTCCTAGCGGCGCATCCGCTCTGCGGTGCGCACCGCCTCCCGGGTCTGGGCAACATTGTGGGTCCGCACCACGTCGGCGCCCATCAGAACCGACATCGCCTCAAACGCCAGGGATCCCGGGAGGCGGTCTGCGGGATCCGGCGCCCCCATCAGCCTGCCTATGAACGACTTGTTTGAGACCGACACCGTGACGGGAAGATCCTGCTTGATCCCCTGCAGGTTCTGAAGCACAAGGATGTCCCTGCGCACCCAGTCCAGATCGGTCCGGGTAAAGAACCTCCCGCGCCGCCTGCGGAAGAACCCGATGGCAGGATCCACGGATATGGTGCGCGGATCCGCGCCCGCCTCCTCTGCCGCATCCACGCTGCCCCGCAGGAGGAGCCGCGCATGGGACACCGGGTTCCCCCGCAGCGGCAGAGGGCTGTGGGCGCACAGGATGAGCGAGGGCAGGTATCTCTCTATCACGTCTGCCATGCCCCAGTCGTACTGCAGGCCCGTGATGTCGTTGAGGATCACGGCTCCCGCATCCAGGGCCTCCTCTGCCACCGCGGATCTCGGCGTGTCCACGGATATTGGAAGTGAGGAGACGTCCTGGACTGTCCTGATGGCCTGCGTCACCCTGCGTACCTCCTCGTCCTGGGATATCGCGGTCCCGGCGCATGGCGCAGTCGACATGCCGCCGACATCGATGAAGTCGGCCCCCTCATCCTCCATGCGCACCGCCGCTGCGGCAATCGATCCGGCCGCGGAGCTCACGGAGCTCTTCATGAACGACTCGGGGCTGACATTGAGGATGCCCATTATGCGCACCGGCGCGGTGCCGCCGATTCGCACTCCACCCAGGGTGTGCATACAGTTTATGGGAAGGTAAACCAATTTGAGTTGTATGGTACCGGGTTGGCGCAGCAAGTATCTGAAGATCCTAAGGGAGTTCGGGTATGATGAGGGACAGGACGTCAGGGCGGCGCGCGTACTTGATGCGGCCATCGGGACACACACGCCGGTACGGCTGCTGGCAGACGCAATCGAGGACAGGGTAGTGTTTGTGGTAGGGGCCGGCCCGTCACTGCACCGTGCCATGGCGCCCCTGAAGGAGTTCCTGGACATCCCCAGGATTGCGGCCGACGGGGTGCTGGCCGCCCTGACGGGCAACGGCATCGGGGCAGACGTGGTGGTGACTGACCTTGACGGTGACCTGGAGGCCCTGAGGGTGGCAGACAGGGACACCATATTCGTGGTCCACGCCCACGGCGACAACATCGACAGGCTGGGTTTTGTCAAGAACCTAACAAGGTGTATCGGGACCACCCAGGCAACAGAGCAAGGCAAGATACACAACTTTGGCGGGTTTACCGACGGGGACAGGGCCGTGTTTCTTGCGGAGCACTTTGGGGCAAGGAGGATCATCCTGCTGGGCATGGACTTTGGGGACAGGATCGGCCGGTACTCGTTCACCCGCAGGCGCGACAGGCCAGTCAAGCTGAGAAAGATGCGAACGGCGCAGGATCTTCTGGTGTGGCTTGCGTCGCAGTCCAGAGCCGAGATCTGCACCACGTCAAGGGCCCTGCCGGGAATCAGGAAGATCGGCTACGGGGAGATCCGGAGCGTCCTTTAGCGTTTTAATAGGGAATTACATACAGTAACACCATGCAGTACCCCGATGAGGAGATGAAGGACGTGCTGGAGCTTCGGGAGCGCATCACGCTGGAGGCCGAGAAGCTCGAGGAGAGGCTTGAGTATGCCAGAAGACACATCCACGTTCTGGATCTGATCCTGAAGAGTTCCAGCTACACCAGAGCATCATCGCTAAAGGTGCTGGCGCCCACGCCAGCCGGGCCGGATCCGGCCCCGGGGGGCTCTGACACTGCCGGGACGCGGCCGCCAAAGGAACCGGCGCCCGGGTCGGACCGGGAGTTCATCAGAAGAGATCGGGGCGGCAAGAGGCTTGCCAGATTTGACACCGCAGCAGACGAGATAGCCATCACATTGGAGGGCGGACTGGGCCTCAAGGCCGACATCCCGCCCCTGAAGACATTCTTCCTGGACAGGATCATAGGCGACATGAAGAGAAAGGACGAGCAGGCCGCGGAGGGCGCGGCGATCGAGTGCCTGCTTGAGCAGGACGGCGGCGAGCTCCGCCGGATCATAGTCAGAAACTACCGCACCAAGGACCGGGCCAAGGAGATCAGGAGCTCCATCGGCTGGACACTCTCGCGCATGCTGGAAAAGATCGAGTGATCGCATGGACAGAATAGTGGTCCTGGACTTTGGCTCGCAGTACAGCCACCTCATATGCAGAAGGATCCGGGAATTCTCGGTGTATGCTGAGCTGGTCCCCTACGACATCACGCTAGGGGAGCTGGAGGGGCGCAACCCCAAGGGGATAATACTCTCGGGAGGCCCGTCCAGCGTCTACAGCGCCGATGCGCCCGTCCCCGCGGCAGGGATATTTGACCTGGGGCTTCCGGTCCTTGGAATATGCTACGGGCACCAGGTCATAGTGGACAGGTTTGGAGGCAGGGTAAAGAGGGCAAACCGGGAGTACGGCTCGTCGCTGCTCACGGTGGATGACGACGGGAGCCTGCTGGGCGGCATCGGCCGGTCTGTCCGGGTATGGATGAGCCACGGCGACGAGGCCGAGCAGATCCCCCCGGGATTTCAGATCATAGGCCACACAAGCAACGCAAGGGCTGCCGCAATCGCAGGCACCGACAGGCCAGTCTATGGGATACAGTTCCATCCGGAGGTGGTCCACACACAGAAGGGCACGGAGATCCTGAAGAATTTTGTGTTGAAGATATGCGGGGCCCGGCAGGACTGGACCATGGAGGCGTTTGTGGATCGCGCGGTGGGCGAGATATCGGGGATCCAGGGCCGCGTCCTGTGCGGGGTAAGCGGCGGGATAGACTCGACTGTCGCCGCGCTGCTGATTCACAGGGCGATCGGGGATCGACTGCATGGGGTCTTCATCGACAACGGGCTGCTCCGGCAGGACGAGGGGGACGAGATCGAGGCGATCTTCCGGGATAACTTTCACGTGAACTTTACGGCGGTCTCCGCCGCCGAGAGGTTTCTCGAGGGACTGAGGGGGGTTGCAGACCCCGAGGCCAAGCGTAAGGCGGTGGGAGAGGAGTTTGTCAGGGTCTTCTCGGAGTTTGCAGAGAGGAACGGGCCGTTCTCCTGGCTGGCCCAGGGAACGCTGTACCCGGACGTGATCGAGAGCGGGGTGTCAAAGGGCCCCGCGGCGGTGATAAAATCGCACCACAACGTGGGCGGGCTGCCCGACTGGCTGGATCTTAAGGTGCTGGAGCCGCTGAGGGACCTCTACAAGGACGAGGTGAGGGAGATTGCAAGGATCCTGGGCGTGCCTGACAGGATAGTCAGGAGGCACCCGTTCCCCGGCCCCGGCCTGGCGGTGCGGATCATCGGGGAGGTGACCCCGGCAAAGCTCCGGGTGGCAAGGACCGCCAGCAGGATAGTGGAGGATGTGCTCCTGGAGGCAGGTGTCTATGATGACGTGTGGCAGGCGTACGCCGCCGTGGGAGACGACAGGGCGGTGGGGGTGGTCGGCGACGAGAGGAGGTACGGAAGCATAGTGATGGTCCGGGTAGTCAACTCGGTCGACGCCATGACCGCCGACTGGACGCGGCTCTCCCATGAGACCCTTGAGAGGATCAGCAACAGGATCACCAACGAGATCGAGGACGTGACCTGGGTGACATACACGATCTCAAGCAAGCCGCCTGCCACCATCGAGCCGCAGTAGGCCATTCCGGCATGACATGCAGGCGGTCTGGCGCGCGCACCCTCACCAGACGCCCCACAGAACCGCAGGGACATCCCGGAAGGACGGCAGCAGCGGACAGAGCCACATCATGCGAATCCTGCTGCACTGCACGACCCAAAGGAATGGCCGGTGGGATGCGCCACGGCGCTCTGCCCTCGGACTTGACCCGTTTTGCTAGGGAATTATATACATGAGTGTACAGCACCCATGTCTTTTGCTGGCGCTCTTGCATTGCCTCCCACGCTTGGCTCTCGCGTGCTGTTTGCGGAACGCGCGGGAGCAATCCCGCGCTGGCTTCTCGCGCCTTCAGACGACGATCCCCGCCGCCCTGCCGCCACGGCTTTCGCCTTGGAGGCAATATTATACGCGGCATTGATGTCCGCGTTGACGTCATTGTAACAGTTGTCATTGGCGCATTTGAATCTGCCCTGCGACACGCGGGAGTTCCCGTCCTCGCGGCCGCACTGGTGGCATGTGATGCTCGTGCCCTTGGGATCCACCATTATGACGGTCACCCCGGCGTTCGCGCACGCCTGCCCGATCTGGCGCTGGAACGTGCCGGGCCGGGAATAGGCCATCTCGCGGTTGAGCCCGGTCTTGGCGGAGCTGCCCTTTCCCTTGGCCCTTGCAGTCATGTTCACGAGGTCCAAGTCCTCCATGACCACTGTGCCAGCGCCATCGGCTATCTTCTTTGACGCGTGCCTTTCCCAGTTCGTCTGGCGGTTGGCAAGCTTTTCCCTCTTTTTCCTGATCTTCCTTTGGAGTTCCTTGTAGCTTCTTGACTTTGGTTTCCTCGGCTTGTTTTTTTTGTGGCCGTGCGTGTTGTTATTGCCGATGCTGCCGCTCGTGTTGCCGCCGCCGTTACCGTTATCTTTATCGTTGGCTCCGTTCCCGCAGTCCGCGCCCTCCTTGGTGTCCTGCCTGATCCTGCGGTTGCCCCTCCCGCCGCGCTTCCGTGAGAGCTCGGAGTACATCCTGGACAGGTCGTCGTCCTTGGCCCTCCTGCAGTCCTTTGGGAGGTCATGAAACGCGTGGCGGCCGGTATCTAGGTCGACGGTGGCGGCGCCGTGGACGATTCCCATGTCGATGCCGCGTATGGTGTCGGATTCCGCGGGCTCCGGCGCCTTTGTCCTGATCTGGATGTGGAGTCTGTACGTCCTGAGATGTGATTCGTAATTAGCACGCAGGCATATTAGAGCACGATCTTTGGCATAATCATACGAAAGTTGCATGCTTTGGAGCACACATCTGTAAGATTATGGGCATCGAAGGCCCGATTCTTAATTGCGGATCATGTCTCTGTTGTGGCTTTCGGTGCGCTTCGTGGTCCTCTTCGTCGTCTCCACCAGCTGAAAGGATCGCATGTCGAGCCCCTCCACGTCGCCGTGCACTTTTACGGTGCCTATGTCGGGGAGCATCACCATGTTGTTGCCCTTATGCACCGGCTTCGCGAACACCGAGAGGGACAGCTGCTCCCCCTTCCTCTTGAACAGGTCATTGGTGTGGGTCCATTTGTTCCTCTTGTTGCTCCACCTGTTGGACGGCAGGTTGGGCGCTGTGTTGATGTCGATGTCATTGATGCCCTCCCTTTCCCTGTGGCGCCTGGCCAGGTATTTCCATAATGACTTGTTGCGGCGCTTTTTGCCGTTGGAGTCCATAAACTTCTTTACCGCGTCCAAGCCCAGCAGGAGGCCGGCCCTCTGCGCAAGGAAGCCGCCATTCATCCACTTCTTTCCGTTTCTCCATCCTGTGAGCATGTTGTTGAGGTCAAACTTTGTCGTCCTGGGGTCTTTCAGCTTCTCCTTGACGGCCATGTTGAACGCCCACCTCTGCTGGTCCATGTGGCGCGATATGAGATCCGACGTCTCGGCCGACTGATCAAAGTCCACCTTTATGGTGCGCATCATGGTGCCATCTATTGAGCGCTTTGACCACTTTTTTGGTGCCGGCTCGGTTGCCGTTGCTGTTGCCGCTACCGTTGTCGCAATTGCGGTTGCCATGATGGGTTTCATTACCGCATGCAAATACCTGCCGAATATAAAAAGGAGATATGGCGGTGCCGGTATGCCCTCAGGTCCGTGCCCAGAATTTCACTGCCGGTGTACATTATTAGACCACATATCTTATTGATCACGAGATTCACGAGCTTTCGTGAGACCGTCTGAGGTATCGCTCCTGCGCAGGGAGCTGGTAAAGGTAACTACAGAGTACAGGAACTTGCAGAAAAAGATGGCCGAGCTCGAGGCCGGCCTCGCCAAGAGGATAATGCTCCTAGAGATAGAAAACGACCGCCTGAGGCTGGAGCTTGCGGAGCGCGACAGGAGGATGGAAAAGTACGAGAACTCCGATTCCCCCTCATCCACTGGTTCGTTGTACAATGCAGAGCGCACCGCCTTCCGAAAGCGGATGGAGAGGGAGGATGCGGACGGGCGGCAGGACGGACCTGAACCGAAGGACGGGGACAAGACCCGCAGGGGGCCGCCGGCGGGGCACGCGGGCGTGTCGCATGGCAACAAGGCCGAGAGGACAGCCACGCTGCACGTGCGCAAATGCGAAGCGTGCGGGCGCGGGCATCTCTCCCAGCTGCCACCCAGGATAAAGATGGTATACGATTTTGCAGTCGACGGAGCCATGAGAATCGAGTGCGTCGCGTACGTGATCGAGCGGGCCGCATGCAAAAGATGCGGTGTGATCAGTGCCGCCAATCCGCCGACGATTCACGGCACGTCGCTTGGGCCCCGGGCCCTGGGGTTCGTCGAGGAGTACTACGCCAAGCGTAGCACGGACGAGACCGTGTCGCACTACTTCGAGGCGCTGTACGGGTTTGGAATCTCGCCTAACGCCATATGGAACGCGCGCAGGGCCCTAAAGAGGCTGCTCGCGCCTGCGTACAGGCAGATCCTGGCCCGCATCGCCGAGGCCCCGTTTGTGCAATTTGACGAGTCGTCCTTCAAGATGAACGGCAGGAAGGGATACGTGTGGCTGGTCACGACCAAAGATGCCACGTATCTGGTGGCCGCCCCGAGCAGGGCCGCCATCATGCTGGACAGGCACTTTGGAAGGCTGCTCGGCATGCCGGTCGTGGTGGACGGGTACACGGTGTACAACGCATTCCCCGTCAAGCAGAGGTGCTGGGTGCACATCCTGCGCAAGGCAGAGAAGCACGCGATAAAGAAAGGCGGCAACTACCTGTCCTGCTACCGCAGGCTGCTTGCCATATACAAAAGAATCAAGGGCAGGGAGTCTGCAAGCTGCGCCGAATGTCTGGACCTGGAGAGAGCCGTGATCGAGATCGCCGCCGCGTATGGGGAAACAGAAAGGAAGAAAGAGCATGACGGCCACAAGTTCAAGGTGACGCTTGAGGGTGCCGCGCCGTGCCTGTTCACGTTCCTGAGGCATCCGGGCATGCCTCCCCACAACAACGCAGCCGAGCTGGAGATACGCGACGCCGTCGTGCTGCACAGGAACGTGCGCCACCAGCTCTCCAAGCCGGAGGGAAGGGAGGTCTTCTCGGTGCTAATCTCGGTGGCGCGCACCTGCCACAAGCAGGGAATCTTTCCGCGCGTCGCCGTGGAGAATCTGATCAGGGATCCAGACTGGCACATATTCAAGCCCCCAGAACAGGTGCAAAAAGAGATTACCGTGGAAGCAGTCGCCGCATAGCGTGGAAGATCCGCCAAGATCACATGTTTGGGGACCTGAGTCCATACCGGTGCCGCTCCGGCCGTGCGGACCGTCCGCACTGTCACGTCCGTCATTTCCGCTGCGCCTGCCGGCGCGTTTCAGGCCTTCACTGGCGCCGGGCCGGCATCGCGCATGAACGGCTCTCGGAACAAAAAGCCCGAAAAGGACGGGTTTTGGCCGCTTTTGAATGCAATTCTCGTCTTACAATGCCGGATCGGTCTGAGACTGCATCCCAAGTATGGATCCGGCATTTGCCTATATGAAAGGCGCAACAAAGCCGTAGCTTTCCGGGGCTCCTGCCTGCCCCGGGATGCAGGTCGGCGTCAAAAAACCCGGACAGCCGCCGGCCGGTCTGGAACCGGGAAGACCGGTCTGCCGAACCGCATGATCGGCCGGGACGGGAGGCCACGGCCGTGTGGCGGCGCCGGCAGTTCACTTAACTATATAATTCCCAAACCAAACCATCCCAGGCGTATCGACTTAGACAATATTTGGACAAAACGGACAGATCTATATATTGTATGTGATGCTGGCGGCCCTGTACAGAAAGGAGAAGCTGGGCCTCCGGCTTTGACGGTTCCGGTGACAGCCGGGCCGGCAGAGCTGGAGGCCTAACTCCTCCCTTTTGGACAAGGCCATTCGTTGGATAAAGCGTATATACGGCCTTTTTGTTTTGTGTATCAGCGGGGTGGGGAAGTCAGACTTGAATCTGGGACAAAGTCATCCCGGCGGGCTCATAATCAGTGATGAGATACCCGCAAATCAGTAGTTCAAATCTACTCCCCGCTATTTACGATACACCACAAACCACGGAAGCTCGTCGTCAAACGCGGCGTTGTTGATCCGGCCCAGCCTCTGCCTCGGCCTTGTCAGGTGCCTGTGGGCGCCCACGGCCGGGATGTAGAGGTCCCGCCGGATGTCCCGTGGCACCGGCCGGGACACCCTGGCAGGGCTCTGCATCTTGCATATCTGGCACCGGTACCCCTGGTTCTGCCCCCTTGACTTCATCCTCTTTTTGCACTGCGGGCACGCCGGATTGGTCCAGACCGTGCCCCGCTCCAGCCTCAGGACCCTGATGAACTCCACATTCAGGGTTCTGGGGCGGCCCGGCGCCGCCCGCCGGATGCCGCCGCCCACCTGGATGCCGTCCCCCGCAATCAGCTCCCCTGCCGTTGTGGCGATTCCGGTCTCACGGTATACCGCGCAGCAGACGTTCCTGCCGCCGGAGACGACATCAAGGAACACGTTGCCGCCGCGGCCAGTCACGGGCTTTGCCGCCACCGTGCCCGATATGACACCCGAGTCATACGGCCTCAGGTCACGGGCATCAAGGCGGTTCTGCAGGTGATCCCCGGTGCCCTGGTTTGATCGGAAGAGAAGGTATCCTGCCAGCGGCTCGCCTGCCTTGATCATCTCCGATGCGCGCAGCAGGGACTTTGGATCCTCGCCGCGGATTCCGTAGAATACGGGGTCAGGCCCGCCCGGCGTGATCAGAACCCTGTCCCGGCGGACATCATAGCTGCCAAAGGTGGACGGCACCTCCTCCTGCATCCGCCTGACGCTGGGGGCGGATATGTCGCGCCTGGTTCCAAACCTGTCGCCCCTCCTGTAGCTTAGCATCTCCATGGTGTTGTCCCCAAAGCGGTACCCCAGGGCTGCGATGGCGCCCACAAGCCCCTGGCCGTTGCCCAGGTGGTGCGACTCGAGGCCGCACCGCCGGACAAGCCTCCTGGCATCCTGCCTTCTTATCAGCCGCCACAGGGCCAGGCTGCCAAACCGGCTCATCTCCCCCGGCATGTCGTCCCCCTCGAGGAAGACGAGGCCCGGATTTGCCCCGTTTGCCGTGTCTGCGTGACTCTCCATCATATCCAGGGCCATCTCCTTGAGCCTGGGGGCATCATCGGTCCTGACCTTTAGCGCAACGGCCCCATTTCCCCTGGTCTTCCAGGGGATGTTGGGATTGAGCCGGACCAAGCGAGGATAGTCAAGAAACCGGGCCCCCTGGTCCCTCAGCATGCCCACCATAGCATACGCAAGAAACGTGGTGCACATCCCCCGGACAGAGTCTGTGTCGTCCAGTCCGATCTGCAGCGTGGTGTGTCCCATCGGTAACGCAACGTGCCAGGCACATTTTTGGGTTGCCTTGTGGGCGTCCGCGGTTCCGGGCACAAAGGCGCCCCGGGAGGTGCGGACGGCGTCATGGCACGGGTGGGTTTAAATTAAAACCGCACACAGCACACATCTAAATTGATCGTAGTAGACCTAGAGAGGATCTTTGCCGTGATTCAGGAGCGCAGGCCGGTGTCTGTGGCGCTCAACGGGCCCGACGGCATTCTGCCGCAGGTTCAGGATGCCGCAGAGAGCGTAATGCGGCGGTTTGGAATCCCGGCCTATGTGATTGCCGATGCCACCTGGGGCACCTGTGACCTCAACTCCGGCGGCGCCCGCACGCTGGCAGCAGAGGTGCTCTTCAACGTGGGCCACACCGTCAACGTGGAGGAGTTTGAGGGGAACGTGGTCATGATCAACGCCTACGACGACATAAAGTTTGACGCGGTGGCAGCCAAGTGCGCCGAGCTGCTCAGGGGCAGGATCGTCTCGCTGCTTACCGACAGCCAGCACCTGCACGAGATTGACAACGTGAGGGAGACGCTGGAGCGGGGCGGGGTGAGGACCGAGATCGGCGAGGGCAAGGGGCAGCTAAACGACGGCCAGATCTTTGGGTGCGAGTTTTATCCCGCCATGGAGAAGAGGGACGTGGCCGATGCCAACGTCTTTCTGGGGCAGAGCAACTTTCATGCCGCCGGGGCCGCGCTGGCAACGAACCTTCCGACGTATGTGCTGGATCCCTACTTTAACGAGGTGAGGGAGGTCTCGGACTTTGCCGCAAAGCTGCAGAGGAAGGCCATCCTGTCCATATACAAGGCGGCCGACGCGCACAGCTTTGGCATCATCGTGGGCCTGAAGGAGGGCCAGATATCAAAGACCGCGGCGCTCAAGCTCAGGCGGGAGCTGGAGAAGGAGGGCAAGCGTGTCCAGCTCTTCGCGCTCACCGACATCACCAACGACAGGCTGCGCAACCTCAAGGGGATCGACGCGTTCATCCAGGTGGCATGCCCCAGGATATCCACGGACAACCAGTTTGACAAGCCTGTCCTCTCGACGCCGCAGGGGCACGCGCTGCTCAAGGTGCTAAGAAAGGAGAGCATCGAGGGGTTCCTGCAGATCCCCCACTGGCTCTAGCCTAGAGCTGCGGTTTGAGCAGGATCTTTCCAAAGAGCGAGCCGGCAGCCATCCTTGCGTGCGCCCGGGCCGCCTGCTTCAGCGGGTACGTCGAGTCGATTATAGATCTGATCTTCTGGCGGGACATCCAGTACAGCCCCTGCTCCAGCTCCGCCCTGGTTCCCTGGGTGGAGCCCAGGATGTTTGTCCCCTTGAAGAACACGTGACGGAGGTCTGTCCTCACGTCGTACCCGGTGGTGGCGCCGGTGGTCACCAGGGTGCCGCCGTATCCCAGGAGCGCAAGCTCCTTGCCCCAGTGGGAGCCCCCGATGTGCTCAAATATCACATCCACCGTGGCCTGCCGGTCTGCGGCAATCTCGCCTGCGATCCTTCGCACCTCCCTGTGCCAGCCGTCCCTCCTGTGGTCCACCACAAAGTCGGCGCCCATCTCCAGGCACCTCCCCAGCTTGTCTGGCGCCGCGGTGGCGATCACGTTGCACCCGTACAGCTTGGCAATCTGGATTCCAAAGGTGCCCATGCCGGAACCGCCGCCCATAACCAGCACCGTCTGGCCCGGCGTGACCCTTGCCCTTCCCACCAGCATGTGCCACGCGGTCATCATGGTCATCGAGGCGGCAGCCGCCTCGTCAAAGGACACCCCGTCGGGGATCCTCACCACGTTTACCTCGGGCAGGTGTGTCAGCTCGCAAAAGCCGCCCCACAGCGGGCCCGTCTGAAAGCCCCAGATGGTGCGCCTTGGGCAGTCGTACTCGCGGCCCGAGGTGCACGCCCGGCAGACGCGGCAGGACAGGTTCCCGTGAGAGACCACCCGGTCGCCTTCTGCGATACCCCTCACCTGGTCGCCTGCGGCAACGACCGTGCCAGCGGCGTCCGTTCCGGATATGTGCGGCAGCGGAACCGGCACGGGCCTCCCCCTCATGCCCCAGATGTCGTCGTGGTTCAGCGCCGCAGACTCCACCCGCAGTATGATCTCATGGGGGCCCCGGCACGGGATCCGGCAGATCCCTTACCTGCAGGATGTCACCAAAGTCGTCATCCCTGGCATATCGCTCGTACACCAGCCCCCTCATAACCCGTGATGGGCGCGCTCGGTTAATATCGATTCCCACCGCGTGCCTGGGGGCGCCGGATTTTTCTCCCATGCGTTAAAAACAATTATAATCAAAGGCGCAAACTCTGTGGTATGTCAGAGGCCATGACCTTTCCCGGGGATCAGATAGCCACAATCGAGGAGTTTGAGGCAGGAATAAACACCTTCGATGACGGCGACAAGGTCAGGGCGGCGGTAATCGGAAGGACGGACATCGACAGAAAGGGGCGCGTGGCAAGCGTAAGCAACCCCAAGCTCGTTCCCGTTCCAGAGGCGGGCGACACCATAATAGGGATCGTGGCAGCGGTGATGTCCTCGATGATCGCAGTAACAATCAAGTACATCAACGGAGAGCCGATAACCTCAGGCGTCGAGTGCGTCTGCTCCACCAGGAGCTTCCGCAGGAAGGGCATCGCGTTCGTAAACGACATCATGGTGCTGAAGATCATACGCCGGCTCAACGGCGCAACCCATGCCACGTTCAGCGAGCCGCACCTGGGCGTGATCCACACGCGGTGCAGGAAGTGCGGCGACAGGGTAATCCGGTACCGGGATGCCATCAAGTGCAAGGAGTGCGGATGGATCGACGAGAGAAAGATCTCGTCGGACTTTGAGAGCTCCGCATTTGTGCAACTGGGCAAAAAATGATCAGGGTTTCCTTTCCGGGAGAACGGGGCGCCTACAGCGAGGACGCGGCGCGCGCATTCTTTGACCAGGATATCGAGACCGTGCCGCTGCCGTCATTTGCAGAGGCGCTCGAGCACACGGTATCTGCCAGGACCGACTTCGTGATACTGCCCGTGGAGAACTCGATCGAGGGAAGCGTCGGCGAGAGCTACGATCTGCTTTACCTGACGCCGCTGAAGGTGACCGGCGAGATCTACCACAGGATAGAGCACTGCCTGATCGGGTCTGGGGACCTGGATGAGGTGGATACGGTGTACTCGCATCCGCAGGCCCTGGGCCAGTGCAGGGGCTTCTTGCTGCAGCGCAAGATGAGAGTCGTCCCGGCGTACGACACCGCGGGAAGCGTCAAGATCGTAAGGGAGATGAACAGCAGGAACGTGGCCTGCATTGCCAGCAGGAGCGCCTCGGAGGCGTACGCGCTTCCGGTAATACGGGACGGCATAGCGGACAACCCCGACAACTTTACCCGGTTTCTGATTCTGGCCCGCGAGCGCTGCGAGGCAGAAGACGCCCGCAAGACATCGATCATATTCTCACTCAGGCACGAGCCGGGGGCGCTGTACCACATACTGGACAAGTTCCTCGCATACGGGGTCAACATGACGAAGATCGAGTCCCGCCCCAAGAAGGACACGCGCTGGGAGTACAACTTTTTTATGGACTTTGAGGGGGGCAGTGCTGATACGGTCCAAGAGATGCTGGAGCAGATCAGCGATGACGTCACATTCGTCAAGGCGCTGGGCACGTACCCGGTTGCAGGGCGCGGCTAAAAGCCCTTTGGCCGCCTCATGCTGAATCCGGCGCTGAACCCGATTATCACTATTCCCGCCACGATCACCATTATGTGGTACGTGTAGAGGATCGGGTCGGTTGTGTACCGGATCGTTCCCGTTATGCGGAGATCGTCAGAGCCCGTATTCTGGACCTCGACTCTGCTGGTGCCGTCCTGCGAGAGCGTCCAGTCTATGCTGGCCTGACCCTTGTATGCCGTCAGGGTCTCATCCCCGCCGGGATCCCGAAGCGATACGTCAAACGAGTTCCCCACGACCGCCATGGATCCTTGCGTCCCGCCTGGCGCGTCAAACTGGTACACCGTCGAGGCTCCCGGGACGACGGCCTCGTCCAGCTGCGATTCCTGAATCCCCAGAGCCAGCACCAGGGATATGACTCCCAGCGCGGTGATTGTGCCGCCCACGATATTTCCGATGATGGTCCGCTTGGTCAGCACAGTGGGCGCATGCGTGAACGCAAATAAAAGACTAGCGGGTGAGGGTCACATCACGGAGACGTCGTGCGGCTGGCTCTCGGCAAAGCCGGCACGGGATATCTTGACGAACTCGGCGTTCTGCTGCATCTGCCGTATGCTGTGCGCGCCGCAGTAGCTGAGCCCCGAGCGGATTCCGCCAGTCATCTGCCGCAGGATGTCCTTTACCGAACCCCTGTAGGAGACCATGGCCTCTACCCCCTCTGCCACGTAGTCGTTGAGGTCATCGTCCGGGGATACGTCGCCCTCCTTTGTCTTGCGCCCCAGAGATGCCGCCAGCGATGCCATGCCGCGGTACACCTTGAACTGCTTTCCGTTCTTTGTGAGTACCGTGCCTGGCGTCTCGTCGGTGCCGCCAAGTATGCTTCCCATCATTACCGTGGATGCGCCGGCGGCCAGGGCCTTTGTGGCGTCGCCGGACGTCCTGGTGCCGCCGTCAGATATTATCGGAATGTCGTGGTCCCTTCCCACCTTGGCGCAGTCCATAACGGCCGTTAGCTGGGGCACGCCGGAGCCGGTGATCACCCGGGTGATGCAGATTGAGCCGGAGCCCACGCCCACCTTCACGGCATCCACTCCGGCCCCGATCAGGTCCTCCGCACCGCCGGCGGTGGCGACGTTGCCCGCGATAAGCTCGCAGTCGGGAAATCCCTTCTTGATGTGCCCGACGGCCCTGATGGCATTTTCGCTGTGACCGTGGGCGATGTCCACCACTATCGTGTCGGCTCCCGCATCCAGCAGGGCCTCGGTCCTCTCCATAAAGTCGCCCTTCACCCCCACGGCGGCGCCCACCAGCGGCCTGCCCTTCTTGTCCTTTGACGCATGCGGATAGTCCTCGGTATTCCTGATGTCCTTGCTTGTTATCAGCCCCCTGACGCGGCCAGACGCGTCCACCAGCGGCAGCTTCTCGATCCTGTTCTGGTAGAGGATCTGCTTTGCGTCCTTCATGGCAATTCCGGGATCCGCCGTGACGACATCCTTTGTCATCACGTCGCGAACCAGGCTGGACCTGTTAAGCTCAAAGGCGGTGTCCCGCTCCGTCATGATGCCGATCAGGCGCCCGCCGGAGACCACCAGCAGACCCGACACGTCCCTGTCGCGGGCATAGTCGATGGCGCTGCCGACGGTCTGGTCGGGCCCCACGGTGTACGGGTTCTCGATCATGATGCTGCCCGAGCGCTTTACCTTCAGCACCTCGTCCACCTGCTCCTTTACGGTCAGGAACCGGTGAATGATCCCTATTCCGCCGTACCTGGCCATGGCAACGGCCATGCCCGACTCGGTGACTGTGTCCATATTTGCAGATATGAGCGGAATGTTCAGTGACAGGTTTCGCGACAGCCTGGTGTTCAGGTCTGTCTGTATCCGGCTTGTGATGTCAGAGCGTTTGGGCACAAGCAGGACGTCGTCAAATGTTAGCCCTTCTCTAAACTCCAATGAAACCCTTTTCAGAGAGATGCGAACAGGTTATAACCTTTTGTTTGCGGAGCCGTCCCGGCGCGGGCTCCGTGCCTGCGTGCACCGGATCTGCATCAGGAGGCCCCGCGCGAGACCGCATGCTGCGCCCGGCCCGGATGTGTAGTTTGTTGCATAACTCCGAATCTCAGGCACGAAATGCCTGCTGCTTGGCAACCGCCTAAGCACGGTTGAGATGGTTATGCGACTAACTATTTGTGGAGCTGTCCCGGCGTGGATCCCATGCCTGCGTGCACCGGATCTGCAGCAGGCGGCCCCGCGCGAGGCCGCATGTTGCGCCCGATCCGGATGACAGCTCGGATGGAGGAGGGCACCCCCACAGAGGTAATCTGTTGCACAACCGTGCCTGCAATATTGCCACGGTGGGCGGCGCCATGTATCATGCGCCGAAAAAGCTATAGATCGCGACGTACAAGGCAGCGGGTTGAAGACGGATAACGAGAAATACGTCAGGCGCGGCCAAGCGCTGGTCGTACGTGGCGATCCCCAAAGACGCAAGGAGGTAAGGGACGCCAACAGGCACAAGGCCGGCGCGCCGTTCCGGTACGCAGACTCGCTGTTTACGGCCCCGGCGGTGGTCAAATCGATAACCGGCCTGCCCTACAGGGACGAGGACGTACCCGACTGCACCATATACAGGAGGTTTCAGTCCATGAATGCTAGGAGGAACGACAGCATGTTTGAAGTCACCGACCGGGAAATCCCGTCCGTCGCGCTTGCAGTAGACTCTACCGGTCTCAAGCAGCATAACAGTGGGGAATGGATAGGGCAAAAGTGGAAGGTCAGGCGGGGGTTCGTAAAGCTCCATGTCCTGGTGGACACGGACACGAGAAAGATCCTGGCCATCCGGGTACCGACGACAAGATGGGAGACTCTCCGATGCCGGTTCCCCTGCTTGACGAACTCTTGGGGGAGGAGGAAGGAGCAGACGGACACGACACCGCGTTTCCGCGGGTGGGTGCCTGTACGGGGATGCCGCCTACGCCTCCAGGGACAACGTGAGGGCGTGCAGGGAACATGGCCCGGATCCGCTAATCAAGCTCAAGGTAAGCTCGACTGCGCGCGGAAAGAGTACGGGCGACGCATGGGGCATGGCGGTCAGGGATCAGCTTGGCGGATCGGCCTACAGCCCCATAGGAGAGCTGTCGGATGACGAGAAGAGACACGCCCAGAAGGAATGGAGGAAGAGAACGGGTACGGCAGGAGGTGGCTGGTGGAGATCGTGCTTTCGGCATTCAAGAGGATATTCGGCGAACACCTGTATTCGCTGAAATAGAAGAACACGGTGCAGGAGGTCAGGATTAAGGTGGCCACGTACAACAGGCCGATAGACATGGAGGCAGGGGTAGTGTAGGGCAAGACGGGCAGGAACTGCGTACGTCCCAGCAGAGCAGGCCGAGTTGTACAACAGACTACAAAGATACGATGGTTTTATCAGAAAGCCGTGTTCGGCAGTATGCGCCACACGGTAACACTTCCAGCAACCATCCCTTCGTTGGTGATTCATTGAAGGACGGCACACTTTGTGATCTTTGACTTGTGTTGATCAAGGGTTTGAGATCAGTTGCTTAACGTGATTTATGCGCGACAGCCCTAGGCGACAGCTCTGCCTCCCTTATGTTGTTCAGTATCCACTCATGGGAGTACCTTGTCGATCTAACAATGAAGAGGTCGACCGATCGAACCTCTGGCATCTCCCTTATGCTCTGCACGGTCTCATCCATCACGTATATGTCGTTACTGTACAGGAACAGTACGATATGCCTCTCCATCAGGTATGGTGCCTCCAGAAAGTCTCTTGAGAACATGTGAGCCAGCTTCCTGAGTATGGGTATTACCTCCTCGGTAACCTGGATCAGTATGGTGTATGTTATAAAATCCCGGATCTGCGCGGGATCATAAGCCACGGTAAATGTGACCCCCTCATCGTCATGCAGTCTGTCGATGTGGCGGGATATGGTCTTTGTAGACAGGCCCGTATTTTTTGCAATAATATCTATCTTCTCCCGGGGGTTGATCAGCATCTCCCTCACGATCTGCATGTCTATCTTTGTGAAACGGGGGCTGACGCTCTGTTTAGGTTCAAAGAACGACAAGACGCGCACTCCATTTTTTCTCTCTGCCAGCTCGATCTTCTCCTGCATGTCGCTCCTCACTATGACCCCGCAGACAGTAAACCCGGCCACACAGGAAGATATCATAAATAGCTCCCCCATAGACCGCATGTGGGCTAGTATCTCCTCCATGTTCTGCCCTGAAACCATGACGTAGGTGATGCTGTGTTCCAGTGTCGGAGGATCTACCTTTATCATAAAGTCCAGAATAATCCCGTTTCTCCTCATCTTCCTGATCTTTGCATTCACCGTGCCGCTGGCAATGCCGATCTTCTCGCCTATCTGCCGCGCAGACTTCCGGCAGTTGTTCAATAGCTCGCTCAAAATCTGCATGTCCAGTCTATCCAGCCTGGTCTACTTCATTTCAGACATGTGCCGACCACATCGCCATCTATAAAATTATCGGACATGCAACTTTGTTTACCAATTCGATAACGCATTGAGTTGCCACAAGAACACGATTCTCGTGCGATTGACGCTGTTACGGATCAAATTAATCATAAAAGTGCGAAAATTTGGATTGGGAAACAAGTGCCATGCAACTCTGTTTCCTAATAAAAATCAGGCCAGACTAGACACGCCAACTGAATTTGAGCTTCGTATCAGGCATTTTCAACAAGAAGCCATATTGATCAGAGAGGCGTGCCGGTAGTCAGGATACCAAACATGACCACAAACACCTCCTCTCCGAATACACCCGACCCACATAATACTAAAAAATCTTTCAATCCGAAAAAATGCAGGCTCCAGTACGATGACCGCAAGTACATAGACCGTGGCCAGCTGTACGTGCTTCAGATAAGCATGGCGATCCTAAAACAGGGCCTGGAGGAGCTAAATCATGGAAAGGTCGGCCGTCCGTTTGGCTTTTCAAACGCATGCTTTGCGGCAGCATCCCTGTTCAGAAACGCCACGGGCATAAAGTACAGGCAGCTGCAGGGCCTGGCAGAGACAATCGTCGGCAAGGTAAACGCACCCACATACTCGGCATTCCAGAAGAGGATGACAAAACTTGACTGCACTTTTGATGAGAAAGGCAGTGGCAATACGGCTGCCGCATGGTTCTCAGACGGCAGCACGAGAACCGAGATAAGCCTGTTTGCCTTTGACTCCACCGGGCTCAAGCCTACAAACCGCGGTGACTGGATGACAGCAAAGTGGGGCACGAGGCGCGGATTCATAAAGCTGCACGTGGGCGTAGACACCAAGACCAAGAAGATCTATGCCGTGGTCATAACTGACGACAAGTGCGGAGACTCCCCACAGTTTGAGGAGCTGGTGGAGCAGGCTTTTGCAAATGCGGAAAAATCGCCAAACGTGGGATACGTCCGCAGACACCGGAATCGCAGCTGACGGTGCGTACGATACCAAGAATATCCGCAGCTACTGCAGCGAGCGCGGAACCAACCCGCTGATTCCCGTCCGCATTGATTTTGCCGGAAATGCAAACGGGTGCATGCCACGCAAGGAGGCAGGATTCAGGCAGCTTGGCGGTTTTGACCACATAGACAAGAAGACAGAACACGGGTTTGCAGATCTTACGCGCGAGCAAAAGAGGGAGCTCCAGAAGGCATGGCGGAAAGAGTCAGGATACAACGACAGGTGGGCAGTCGAGATCGCCTTCTCCACATTCAAACGGGTCCTCGGTGAGTGCGTGAACGCACGAAAGTGGGAGAACGTCAAGACCGAGATATACGGCAAGGTGTGGCTGTACAACCATCTGATTGACACGGCAATTGACAACGGGTATGGCACGCCAAGGGTGGTGTGCCCGTCTGTAAAACCGGCCCCGAAGACAGCAAGAAAGGCGAAAAAAAAAAAAAAAAAAACCCCTCAAAAAAAAAAAAAAAAAAAAGCAAAAAAACTCCAACCAAAAAAAAAAAACACAAACCCAAACCCCCTCCCCCCTCCCCCAAAAAAAAAACAAAACCCCAAAAAAAAAGGGAGGCAGTGACATAGACAGAGTCCACAGGCAGGTGTCTGTGTGCCGCATAATTAGAAACAGAGTTCACAGAGGAACTCTGTTTACTCATTATTCAGTCACTGCCTAATGGCTCCAAACGCAGCCAGGGACTAGGCACGCCAAATGAATTTGAGCTTCGTATCAGGCATTTTCAACAAGAAGCCATATTGATCAGAGATGTGTGCCGGTAGTCAGGCTGCGAAACATGACCACAAACACCTCCTCTCCGAATACACCCGACCCACATAATACTAAAAAATCTTTCAATCGAAAAAATGCAGGCTCCAGTACGATGACCGCAAGTACATAGACCGTGGCCAGCTGTACGTGCTTCAGATAAGCATGGCGATCCTAAAACAGGGCCTGGAGGAGCTAAATCATGGAAAGGTCGGCCGTCCGTTTGGCTTTTCAACGCATGCTTTGCGGCAGCATCCCTGTTCAGAAACGCCACGGGCATAAAGTACAGGCAGCTGCAGGGCTGGCAGAGACAATCGTCGGCAGGGTAAACGCACCCACATACTCGGCATTCCAGAAGAGGATGACAAAACTCTGACTGCACTTTTGATGAGAAAGGCAGTGGCAATACGGCTGCCGCATGGGTTCTCAGACGGCAGCACGAGAACCGAGATAAGCCTGTTTGCCTTTGACTCCACCGGGCTCAAGCCTACAAACCGCGGTGACTGGATGACAGAAAAGTGGGGCACGAGGCGCGGATTCATAAAGCTGCACGTGGGCGTAGACACTAGGACCAAGAAGATCTATGCCGTGGTCATAACTGACGACAAGTGCGGAGACTCCCCACAGTTTGAGGAGCTGGTGGAGCAGGCTTTTGCAAATGCGGAAAAATCGCCAAACGTGGATACGTCCGCAGACACCGGAGTCGCAGCTGACGGTGCGTA